GGATAGCAAAACAGTTTGACTTCAATCGCAATTCAATTCAACTTCAATTTTTTTTGCTGATGAATATCTAAACTGCCTACTATCCAGTAACAAAAAGTATTTTACATTTGGACTAAAAATTCAATTAAAACCCAATTATTCTTATCCTTAAAATAAAATTCCCCCTATTATCCTATTAAGTTCGGTCCTGTGTTCGACTCTTATGAAGATGCATTTGTCGCCTCAGGATAAAAGGTCGATTTTCATAATCGTTTTTTTATCACGTGCATTTGTGTATGTGTGTGTGTTTTTTATGCGTCTCAAGTCAACCGAATCATTTTTAATTTTGCGATTTGTGATTTGTTATACGTTCCTGAGTTTAGCCGGGAATAATTTAACACTTAAGAAAATACAGATACATTTTAAAACCAGATTTAAATTATTGCTACGTTATTTATGCATGCAATCGAAACATTTTCGAGATTAACATCTTAGCAGACAATCGATATTGATTTCGGAAATTATTTTTGAAAAATGAACTAGAAAGACGACACAATCGATATTCCCACAAAAATTGTTTTAAATAGTTGGTATTGGTATTATGCCAGGCAAGTTACATGAACTTCCCGATATGTGTAATCGACTTAATCAATAAAAAATAAATTAATTTATTAGTGATTGAAAGTATTCCGAGTGGATTTATTACACATAATTGAAAATGAACAAACACGTTAACTCAGTATTTTCTAAACGCAAATTTTCAAAAATCAATTATTTTTATAATTGAACCAGTTTTCGTAGGACTTTAATAGTTTAGTATATTTATTAAGACCAAGTACTCTGTCGTATACCAAGTAAATCGTCTAATTTTAATTTTAACAAATGTCAAAAAAACTACTCAGTTTCTTAAACTTTGATGAATTTTTAAAATAAAAGCTACTCGTCGTAATGCCGTAATATTTCAGTAAGTTCTATAAGACCATTATATATACCGCCAAAGAAAGTTCCATAAAAATCGGCTTAAATTTTTTTTCAACAGTTAATTACAAAAAAACTTGCCGGTAGATTTTCACCTAAAACTAATCAGTATCATTCCCACTTAATATCTTTCGAATAGTTTTTGATTTTTTAAAATCGATTCGGTAGCGTGAGCTTAAATGTGGACGAAAAGTTTAACACTTTTTGCCAAATTACAAAGAAACGGCTCGGCAGATCGTCGCACAAACTGACAAACGATAGTCCTCACTGAGATACATCAAATGGCTTTTAAATATCTGAAATCGGTTCATGCGTTTTTGAGCAAACGCCGATGAAAGGTCTAATTTTGACAAATGCCAAAAAACAATACTAATTTTTGCAATGAATTTTTAAAATTAAATGACTTGTCGTAGGGCCGTAATATTTTAATATAATCTATAAGACTATGGTATCTATCTACCGTCAAAAAAAAAACATAAAAATCGTCGAAAAAAAAATTTTAATACTTTATTACAAGAAAACGGCCCGGCCGATTTTTACCAAAAACTAATCAGGTCGATTCCGAAACAATATCTTTCAAACGGTTTTTGAATTTTTAAAATCAATTCAGAAATGCGGGCTAAAACGTGGACGAATTTTTTTCACTTTTCTGCGATTTACAAAGAAATGGCTTGGCTGAGCGTCGCGCAAAATTGATAAACACAAGTCCTCATCGAGATACATCGAATGGCTTTTAAATTTTTGAAATCGGTCCACCCGTTTTTGAGAAAACGTCGATTTACGACAAAAAATCTGTTCACATACACACACACATACTTTTTCCAAATTTGGTCTCATTCGATTCAGAATGGCTTGAAACGTCGAGAAATCATAAAATTAGCTAATCGGATTTTTTGATGAAAACATAAACTTCTCCTTCGGGAAGTTAATTACGTAAAGAAATGATATCAGTCCATTATCAGTAACCGTCTATTATTATAATATTTTTTTCTTGTCGTCCTCATTTTTCAACCCCTTACAATAATTCAATTGTCAACTATGTATCTTATCTCTTATCTCTTAGCCCTTATCCCTTATCGTAGGGAATGACCCAGATGGAGGAGTTTTTAAAACCGTTCCCTTGCTCATCTCTTCGACTGATGCCAGAAGGTCTGGCGCGGTCGCATTTTTTTTACTTATTTTTTACAATAAAACCTTTTCTCGAGAATACCTGTTTATAACACTAACACACAGCCGCACCCGTTACTCACGACAGGGATCGAGAACATTTTCTCATTTGGGAAATAACTAGTGGGGCGCATGGCATCGTGCCTTAAAGCAAATTGCTGGAACTTCCAGTACCAAAAATTATTATTTTTTAGAAACGATTAACATTGCTGAAAAAAATTTTACTTCGAAAAAATTAGATTGTTGAGAAACTATAAATTTGACAAAAAATTACTTTCTCTTCATTTTGATTTATTTTGAAAATTCTGAACTTTTTTTCAAAGCAATCGTACTGCTTGAACTGCATAGAGACGAAATGTCAAAGCGCGTAAGTGCCGCGCCGCCGTCTAGCGGAAAAACATTGGTACGGAACCCATAGAAATGTAAAAAAAATGTATACTTATTGTTAAAATCTCTATAAAATATCTGATAACTTGATTTGCTTATGTCTAATGATCATTTTTGACCGCCAAATGGCATTTTTTTTTACTTTTATCATTAGATCTCCGAAACCGCTAGACCTGCCTTTATGAAAATTTGATCAATTCTTCATCTTGTCAATACAAGTAAAATGATTTTTGAATTATTAAAAACGGCCGCTCCGTTCTCTTAAAAACTGAGTTACCATTTTTGGCACTTTTTGCCTCGTATCTTCGGAACGGCTAGACCTGCCTTCGCCAAAAACTAATCAGCACGTCTCCTTATCAATACGAATCGAATGCTTTTTGAATTATTCAAGTCGGTTGATCCGTGTTCCCGAAATCGTCGACAAAAATTTGTATCCGAACACACACACACACATACATCCATTTTTTCTATGGTATGGTATGCCAAAATGTTCATAAAACTTTGAAACGTAAAGATAAATGAAAATTTTCATTTTCGATATTTTTGCGATTACTATAACTTGCCCTACAGGAAGTTAATCATATTTGGGACCGAGGGATGTAGACAGATTAAGAGTAAAACTTACTTTATTAATTTATACCAGAATTCAATATTCAAGTTTTTAAAAATATACGACGATGATATGAAATGTTTTTATGCTTGCATTTACTTGTATACGTTAGTATTTTTCTTAAGGAAAAAGTACTTACTACAGTTTTTTCATTTTTTAACACTAGGATAAGCAAATTCTAAGTACGTTTCACTTTTTGTAATTTTTCATTTTTCACTCAATTATTAAACATAGAGTTTTTATATTTTTAACTTCCCGTAGGGTAAGTTATTGTAATCGTCCAAAAATCGAAATTGAAAATTTTTACATTTTTCCACGTTTTGAAGGTTTCTGAACATTTTGGCATACCTCAGAAAAAAATGATGTGTGTGTATATGTATGTATGGATACAATTTTTCGACTACGTTTTCGGGCGCACGGATCAACTGATTTGAATGGTTTAAAAAACATTCGATCCCTATTGAGAGAGAGATATGCTGATTCGTTTTTGGCAAAAGCAGGTCCAGCCGTTACGGAGATACGGAACAAAGAGTGCAGAAAATACAAATCGAATTTTTGAGAGAACGGAGTATCCTATTTGAATGATCAAAAAACATTCGATTTGTAACGACTAGGAGAGGGAGGTGATTAGTTTTTGGCAAAGACAGGTCCCGCCATTTCGAAGATACAGAGCTATATGTGAGATTTGCATGATCTAAAAAACTTTTTGCTTGTATTGTTCTGACAAAACAATTGCTTTTGAGGATAAAAATATATTACATATTTTTTTATTTTCCATAAAATATTTTTGTAATTTTGGATTAAAAATTCAAAAAATTACCCAGGCTAAGCACAGTCTAAGCGCCACTCTGGTACAAATGTTTACCCAAGTGCGTTTAGACTGTTTTGGAGCACTTTTTCAATTTTGTGAGTTTTCATTGAAAAATGTAAAAATGCCGCCACCGAGCACAGTATAAGTGAAAATGTCGCACAGAATTATTTGCAAATGCGTTTAGACTGTGACTATAAGGAGCACTTTTTCAATTTTGTGTAAATAACTACTTTTTTGAAATTGAATTCGAAATGAAATGACGATTGTTAATGTTCTGGAGATAAATTGATTTATGATTTACATTTGATTTGCTTAGATATAACAAGATAGCAAAAATAATGAAAGTTACACTATTTGTAATAATATATTTGGAAACGTTTTAAATTTCTCGAATATTTCACTACGGTACGGGAAGTTCCAGCAATTTGCCTTAAGGCACGATGCCATACACCACTAGTTAATTTTTGTTTCCACCGAATAATTTTTTAAGTAAAACTTTGAAGTAACATCTTTAGGCGCGACTAGGGTGTAAATCCGTACAAATGCAACGGAAGTGCGTTACGACAGATAAGATAAGATAAGAGTCGAGTGCCAAAGATTCGTCATTCGCTGTCGATGATATCATTTCTATACGGGTCGATTGTGATTGGCCGTCGCGTATGTGAACAGAAATCTGTCGTTGTATGCATACCGGCATCAACGTTGTATGCGTTCCGATATCAACAAGCAAGTCGGCATAGATAAATATGTAAAGTTGCATCGTAGTACAAATCTCAACTAAAACTAGGTCTGAGTGGCATTTTGCTGCATAAACTATCAAAAAGATATCAATAATATATTAATTTGTAAGCATATCTAGTTACCATAGAGCCATAATACTAATATATGAAACCCATGAAACCTATAATTTTTGAAAAGGTTCAGTTACCGGCTCCGATTTGTAAATAATAGTAACAAATGTTTATATGTAATTAATATACATGGTAATTTTCATTGTAAGACTAGCAAAAAATTACTTTAAAATATTAATAAACAAAATTGTTAATGTCATTTGTATAAAACACTTACCTAATGTATACATTGAACTGTCAAATGAAGAACACTTTTTGCAAACCGTAATAATAAAATTGACTCAAAATCACCTTTGATAAAAATCATTTTTCTAACAGCACAATTGATTATTAGATTAATAAATAAATATTATAGAATATTTCACATTTTATAAAGGATATTTTACAAATTACGAGCTCACATGTTTTAATTGTGGTTATCCTAGACATTATAATAATGTGGTGGTTATCGCACAGAAGTGAAGTAAGCGGAAGTAAGCTGACTTACTATACCAATGGTGCTAAAACGGTTATATGAAGGATATTTAAACTTTCAAATACAAAATTTGTAATTTTGTTTAATTGAATGACTTAACTAATAAATTTAATTATTATAATCATTTAATTAATTTATATTGAACTAAACAATAAAACTTATAATTGGTGTGCTGCAAATTTTTGTACTATATCTAATTTGCATTAAAATAAAAACACAATATGAAATTAATTTACATTAAAATCAGATATCACTTTTTTGTATAAACAAAACTTCACTCAATTTATTCATTTAAATATTAACAATGCTCAATATACACAAGGCAGGGTGAAACAAAACCAACCAAAAATCAATCCTGATCGAGAAATAGACCGTAGAAATGCTGCTGCCATAATTTCTTAGCTGACATTAATTGTTTAAACTGGCATTCTCACAGAATCCCGCAAATGGTAGTTTTTCATTGTTTTAATATAAATTTTAATTAATACAATTTAACTTTACTTCCAAGAGATTTATTCATAAAAAAAATCTTATTTGTTTCATAATACCACTAAATGATTTTGCATCACAAAATGACTACTTATAGTACTAAAAAACATTCATACAATTAATTTATAACAATTTTAATAAGGAACAAAATTACAAAAAACTTATTAAATACTGAATTAATGTAAGTATTATTAAAACTCACTTAAAAACTCTTAATATATTTGAGTGTTACTCATAAAAACCTAAAATTAAAATTACTAACATATTGCAAAGGCAATATAATAATATAAAACTCAGCTATAAATAGCATATATAAATATTAAAGCTATATAAAACAACACATACAATTGCATATAAAAATAATTTCTAAAAAATTACTCCATTATGTTTAAGTTAAAATTCCACGTTTTGTCAGCCTCCTTGATGGCTGATTGGGAGTGCTGGTATTGGAAATCATTTCACCCCCTAAAAATTATAAAACGATTTTATAAAAAATCGCACAATTCAAAACATATTTAATAAAGTACCTTCAGGTGAGTCCCAAGATATAAGATCTATACTTGGCCTAATTTTTTTCGAGCTATTATGAAGGGGGCGTATATTTTCAGTGGGCAATGTGGAATCAAAATCAATAATTTCATTACAATCTGATCGCCTAAATAAAACAGATTTTGATGAATTTAATGATTTGTTGTGTGCAGAATTTTTCAATATGCCCTTTCCTGCTGAAGCACTCTGATTCAACTGAAAGATTTAATGAAGATTATATTATTAATTTATACAGCATGCTTATACTGCAACAATATACTTACATAAGACGCAGATGTATTGAGGCGTTCCGTATTCGCTTTCAGTACTTTGGATAACATACTTTTGTTTGCTGGTCTTACTTGAGGAGACTTTTTGGCTGGGAGCTTTTTCCGAGCAGCTGAAAATGTATACAAATTTAATATATAAAATTGGTTAAATAGACACATTTTAAATAATAAGCTTGTATAAAAAAGCTACCTTTTATATGATCTCTCAATTTGGAAGATGTTTGTGGAAGTTTTTTTACAGGTAGTTCTTTTTTCTTGATAACTTTAGTTTTAATTTCCCTTGGAGTTAATACATGTTCCCAGTTATTGTTCTTCAATTTTTCTAATCGATCAAATCTTTTATTTATATTATTCACCTATATTAAAAAGTTAAAGTTCAGTTTATATCAAACATCACTAGCTATATGTACTTTACTAGCTCACCTGTATGAAGATCATGTCCCAAAAAGCATTTAGATCACTCGCTAATATTTTTTGGCCATCTTTACCATTTGCATCATTACTAAAATCATTTATCAGCTCTCGAAATTGCTCAAATTTATTTGTGGTTAGTAATTTTGTTTGGCCCAATGCCACATCAATGTGATCACAAGCTTCTTCTGTTAAATTTGATTCGTTTTCAGTTTTGTATTGATGCCAGGAATCGTGGATTTTCATGAGTCTGGATGTTTCATTCTTAACAACATCTCTGAGTAAATAATATGGATTAGAACATATTAAAATATATATATATATATATATATATATATATATATATATATCTTATACATAAAATTCTTCTGTAATGATGTATGAAAGGATAATCCTCCCAAACAATTATTCGGATTTTGATAAATCTTTCTGAAGTTTGTTAAGGGATTTTTTTAGGATGTATGTGATTATAAAAATATAGTAATATTGTAGAAATAATTGGAAAAAATTGACAAAAAAACGAAATGTCATTGTTTAACATTGGAAATATTTGAGACATTGTTTGGCATTGAAAGCAAATGAAAACTGTAATCTGCCAAAAATTTCCATTTACTTATGAGCTTAGACAATATTAAAATATGTATAATGCATTCATGATTATAAATAAGAAAAATGAAACGTCTAAATTATTATTGCCATAAAGCAGCTGAGTTGTGCCACAAATTAAAATAATATAAAATGCAGCATATGTATGGCAGATTGAATGATACACATATGAACTGGATTTGACAAATTAATTCACTTAATTCACATTTTCTATAATATAATTTGAGAAATATATAATTTCTTAGCATCTTTTACTAATCTTTGCACAATATTTTTAAAATACGCTAAAATTTCACATTAAAACAACAAATGGGAAAGTAAAAATGAGCACATACAATTCGGCCCTTACGATATCAATGAGGTGAAGTTTCAGATTCAATTTTGGATATCTTAAATAATAAAAAATCAAATTAATTTAATCCAACATGAACTACCAGTGTTACATTTATTAATAAATCGCTCAATAGAATAAATTGCATAAAATGTCCAAAATAAGTAAATAAAATGTTTTAAAAGCCAATTATTAATTAATGGTAATAATTTTAATAATAACTATTAAAAAAAACAGGTAAAATAATAGGGGAAGGGCGCTAAAAAAATGGCAAGAGGGCACATAGAACCCCAGGAGCGTCCCTGGTAATAATGTGTTAAATTATTACTAAGAAAAATGTAATTTATATATGATTACGAAACACCAGTTAAAATATGATACGAGATTATAAAAATTATAAGCATAGGAGCAATTATTTTTGGTGGAAAAATCCAAGGTAATATTGTACTTTTACCGCGGATACTGTATATTAATTTTTTCTGAATTTGTTATGCCGTTTAAAGGACTTCAATTTCCAATATAGTGCAGGAATTGAGACTCTTTCATCAATAATTTTATTTAAAGCAGTTCTACATTTAACTTTGTTTATATTGATGTACATGCAATTATTATTTTTAGGTAAATGGTAAATATTAGTATAGGATATTAAAAAAATGCATACGTGGGTACAGGACAACATCTGTCGGATCATCTAGTATATATATATATATATATATATATATATATATATATATATATATATATATATATATATATATATATGTGGGGATAAAGCAGGCTGGTCATTTTTGTAAAAAAACAATTGTACTTGTCATGTATATTTTTCATATCGAAATATTTTTATAGTCAATAAATTTGATATATTTTTATATGTTGGGAGTTTATAATTTAATATATTATAATCATTACAACTCCCACATATATATATAAAATATATGTATATATATATATATATATATATAAAATATAAAATATAAAATATATATATATATATATATATATATATATATATTCTGCATTACCATAACAGAATTTGTCAAGAATCATCATTTAATAATCCTTTTATAAGTATAAGGATAATTCACCTGTAATATTTAGCTTGTGCGGAACGATGATCAGGGCTGTCATTTTCAGCATAAGGAAGCACTGAACTTCTTCGTAGTTTCTCATTTTTCATACTTTGCTTACCACGAGAAACAGTGACAAAAGGGCTTACATACACAGGTGCTTCTTCCCGTTTATTCTCCGGTGTTTTGGATTCTACGGCTAAATCAACAATAATAAAATTTATATATAAATGACATTTATACTAGTTGAACATAAACATTTCTTATCTCATACATACGTTCAATTTCTGCAATCTCCACAGTTTCAGCTTTTAACTGGCTTGAATTCTGAAATATTTGAACATACAGAACTATAACATTATAAATAAAATAAGATTTTTTAAAAGGAACACTTACTTGATTGCCATTATCACAATTTAATTTCCTTCTTGATCTCAGCACTCGATTTGAAGGAGTAATTAAGAGTGAGCTATTATGCTCATTAACAATGCGTATTCGAGTCGGAGTAGAATGTTGTACAATATTTTTTTGTGGTGTTTCTGAAATGACCATAATGAAAATTAATTATTGAAGTGTTTCAAAAATTAACAAAAATATTGAACAAATTCACATGGCCTACTAAATAATAAATCCAAAATATTGTAAATTAATCAGAATTGTTTTATATGAAAACTATAAAGGTCAATTTGTTTATGTTCATACCTTGCTTTATAAGTGAAGTTCTGACTTTAGCCTTATGAGAGCAAATATCATTTTCATTTAATCTTGATTTTGTTTTAGTTTGCAAAGCATTTAACTTATTTTGACTTATTTTGGGTGATATGTTTTTGCTTAGCCTAGCTTTATTGGGTGCTGTATTATTACTTGCTTTAGTCAGGCTGGAAACATTTCTATTATCTAACTTGCTCTTTGTAGCGGTGTTGATTTTAGGTAGAGGGTTACTTGTTTTATTCAAGTTATTAGAATTGCATCCAGCTTTAAAAGCATTCATGTTTAATTTGGTTTTCATTTTATCAGCAAGTGCTGCTGATTTTCTGTTCGCAGTACTCAATAAAGCTGTATCTTTACATTTTATCGTTTTTTCTGCCTCAATAGGTTTGCGAGCATTAGAACTTAGTGTAGCTTTGGCGTTTACACTGGTTTTATTTATAGGTCTTAAAGGATTTATAGTTCTCGTACTAGCAACACCAGCCGGTTTGAAAGCAGGCCTGGATTTCATTTTTTTCTCTTGTTCTATTTTTCTTTGCTCATCTTTCTCTTTTTTCCAAATTTTGTACCTTTCACCCCAAGGCAATTTTTTCGGCTTAATATTTTCTGTCTCACTAACGTTTGGGGATTGCTGGGGTATTTTTCTGTTACTCGCAAAAGCTTTTGCCCGCCGATCTCGAAGTTTGCTTACGTTTTCTTTGCGTCTATCAGACGCTTCAGTTCCGGCTAATGTATTTTGTTTGTATTTGGAACGCAAATCTAAATTTTTTGACCTAAAAATAGTATATTATTATGATTTCAAGCAATTAGTACAACGAAAGCTTCAGTAACGGTTTCTTACTCACATTGCTTGTATTCTTCTGTATATTTAAATAGCACAGATTTTAATCAAAATGACCCAAAAATTCGTTAACTTTTTAATACTTTTCTTTTTTACAAATTTAATTTATTCACTGTGATTATCTGTTATTAGATAATCTTTCAACTTCAACGATCTCCAACGCTCCTCAACGAATGACAAGACCAAGCAGAGCAACAAGCAAGCAACGCAATCAAGGCCATAGAGTACAAGAAAAATATCGAGGGATGGAAATAAATTTTGGAACGCTATTCGCTATGTGCGTGACTGCAGCGCCCATGCAGCGCCGTAATAAATATGAACTAATGGCGGCTATCAGTGTGTGGTTTTCATGGGTTTTATATGTTTGTTAAAGAAAAAGATATTAAATAGTTGTTATAAATAATAATAAACAAGATACAGTAATAATGTGAACGCCGAATGTTTATTGAAATTATTAAATTTACTTCAACGTACTTAAAGCATAATTAAGCATAATGATTAATTAAATAAAGAAATGCATGCAAGAAAACATTTTTAAAGTTAAGTGCCTCAAAGCTTATGTCATAATCTCGGAATAGTTCTTAATAAAAACAATATAATAATGATAAAAATATTTTAACAATAGAATAAGTAAATAATAAATAAATTTACTCATTTTTTTATTATTTTTGGTCAAACTAAAGACTTACAATAGACATTATTATAAAGACATAAATTGATTCCATCACCCATCAAATAAAATTGCAGGAAAAAAAACTACACTAACTTTTCGAGGATTGTAAATTGAAGGAAATATTGTTGGCAAGCAGATAAGACTCAATACCTCGTCCGATTTTTTTCTTCTAATGAAATGTTTATTGCATATGCGATAATAGGGCTTGGGAACTTACGGCGGTGATCCATCAACACTACAAATATATATTTTGCATTATTTCAGCATTGTATTAATTAAACTGTTTGCAAAATAAACATTTTAGCGCTATGTGATAACTTTTATTTTTCTTTTAATCATAAAATTACAATTATTATATAATAAAATGTAATTAATATATAGATAATAGTTATACATAATCAATATACAATATATAAATATATATTTTTCATTATTTCAACCTTGTATTAATTACATTGTTTGCAAAACAATTTTTTCTAGTAAGCATTAAACAACAATAATATAACAATTTATTGACTTATAATTTTTCTTTTTGCTAAACATAACAATTTTACAACTATTCATAATACTCCGAATTGCATTTTTATAACAATAAGGTTATAATACTTACTTTATTCTTCTAACCGCAGCGATCCACTTTTCTCGTTGATTTTCTTTCCACTTAGCTGTAGAAAATGTATTGGCTATGTGCGAAGGCATGGAAGGGGAAGTCAAATCGACCGAAGCGTTCGTAGTGGCTAACTTGGAGCACTAAAAGGGGCTATTATAAACAAAATTTTAAACAAAAACACATAAAATATTTATTTATTTCAAATTTAAATAAGATAATTAAAAATGAACCACCATGTCTGTTGTGTAGTGGGTTGTAGAAATACCAGCAGAAAAAGTGACTGCAAATTCTATACATTTTCTATAGCTAAGTGGAAAGAAAATCAACGGGAAAAGTGGATCGCAGCGGTTAGAAGAATAAAGTAAGTATCATAACCTTATTGTTATAAAAATACAATTTGGAGTATTATGAATAGTTGTAAAATTGTTATGTTTAGAAAAAGAAAAATTATAAGTCAATAAATTGTTGTATTATCAAAATTTAATGCTTACTAAAAAAATGTTTTGTAAAACAATGTAATTAATACAAGCCTGAAATAATGAAAAATACATATTTATATTGGCTATGTGCGAAGGCATGGAAGGGGAAGTCAAATCGACCGAAGCGTTCGTAGTGGCTAACTTGGAGCACTAAAAGGGGCTATTATAAACAAAATTTTAAACAAAAACACATAAAATATTTATTTATTTCAAATTTAAATAAGATAATTAAAAATGAACCACCATGTCTGTTGTGTAGTGGGTTGTAGAAATACCAGCAGAAAAAGTGACTGCAAATTCTATACATTTTCTATAGCTAAGTGGAAAGAAAATCAACGGGAAAAGTGGATCGCAGCGGTTAGAAGAATAAAGTAAGTATCATAACCTTATTGTTATAAAAATACAATTTGGAGTATTATGAATAGTTGTAAAATTGTTATGTTTAGAAAAAGAAAAATTATAAGTCAATAAATTGTTGTATTATCAAAATTAATGCTTACTAAAAAAATGTTTTGTAAACAATGTAATTAATACAAGCCTGAAATAATGAAAAATACATATTTATATATTGTATATTGATTATGTATACTATTATCTATATATTAATACATTTTTATTATATAATAATTGTAATTTTATGGATTAAAAGAAAAATAAAAGTTATCACATAGCGGAAAAAATGTTTATTTTGCAAACAGTTTAATTAATACAATGCTGAATGAAATAATGCCAAATATATATTTGTAGTGTTGATGGATCACCGTGGGTTCCCAAGCCCTATGATCGCATTTGCAATGAATCGGTCGAGGTATTGAGTCTACCTACTTGTCAATGGTCTTGTCTTATAATATGTCTAAATTATTATGTCTTTATAATAGTGTCTAAGTCTTTAGTTTGACCAAAAAATGAGTAAATTAGTTTATCATTTACTTATTCTATGATAAAATACTATTATCATTATTATATTGTTTTTATTAAGAACTATTCCGAGATTATGACATAAGCTTTGAGGCACTAACCTTAAAATTATTTACTGCATTTCTTTATTTAATTAATCATTATGCTTAACTATGTTTAAGTACGTTGAAGTAAATTTAATAATTTCAATAAACATTCAGCGTTCACATTATTACTGTATCTTGTTATTATATTTATAGCATTATTTAATATCTTTTTTCTTTAACAAACATGTAAAACCCATGAAAACCACACACTGATACCCCCAATTAGTTCATATTTATTACGGCGCTGCATGAGCGCTGCAGTCACGCTCGGAGCGAATAGAATTTGCAGTCCCTTTTTCTGCTAATATTTCTACAACCTACTATACAACAGCTTTGGTGGCTCATTTTTAAATATCCTATTTAAATTTGAAATAAACAAATATTTTATGAGTTTTTATTTAAAATTTATGTTATAATAATAATACTACTTTACCCAACCTACTTTAAAGCTCAAAGTAGCCACTACGAACGCTTCGGTCGATTTGACTTCCCCTTCCATGCCTTCGCACATAGCCTATAGCGCCACTTACGGTAGGTTACTGAAACATATTAATAGTAATTTATTAATTTTTAAATGGATGAATATAATAGTCCTAGACAATATAATAATAGATAATAGTCATATGTTTTACTTTATTACCGAGTGCATTTTCCTATTATTTGATTTAGATGTAAATTAAAAACTAATTTGTACCGGAGTCTAAAATCTATTCATTGACTTGTAAGTAGTAGTCATAGCTTGTAATTCCAGTACAAACTACGGGGCGCTATGGCGCTACGCATTTAAATTTGCAAACGACTTTTGAGGTTATGAATATGATATGCTATCGCATGTTCATATAGTTTGTCTGAAATATATTGTGTGTATATTGAAATCATCCATTGAAAATGGATGATTGTGATGTAAATCTTCAAGAAGCGACTACAATAAGCCATTTGAGACCTTTAAGGTGTGAATTGAGCCTATTATCCCGTTCCGATGGTTCTTCAATTTTAACTCAGGGCCAAACAGCGGTAATGGTCTCTCTTTACGGACCAGTTGAGGTCAGATTGCAAAATTTATTAATACATAAAGCATCTATAGAAGTCAAGTTCATTCCAAAGTCAGGAATTTCAGGAGTAGCCGACAGGCTCAAAGAAAAAGTTATTCAAAATACAGTAGAGACTGCCTTGATGTCAACATTATACCCTCGCAGTGCTGTGAACATTAATATTTTAGAAATGCAAGACTCAGGTGGCCTTTTGTCATGTGCGGTAAATGCATCTTGCTTGGCTCTTTTAAATAGTGGAGTACAAATGAAGTTCTTAATAGCGGCAGTGCATTGCATTGTAAACAAAAACAATGAAATAGTTATTGATCCACACGACAGGCTGATCGTGAACAATTGTAATGCGAGTTTTGTGTTTGTGTTCGATAATATAGACAGAAAATTAATAACATCTTACACAACAGGAAAATATAATGAGGAACAATACATGGAGTGCTTACAACAGTGTAAAGAAGCGTCTTTAGAGATTTTTAAATTTTATCGAGACATAATAAAAAAAAGTGCTTTAATAATCTGAAATTATGTTTTATGAAACTTATATTAAATAACACATGTTTTTACCTTAAACCATTTCCATTAGAACTTTGTATAGTTTTGGCATTTACATTACTTTTATATTTTTTACATATTGGTAAATTAGTAATTTCAATTCTTAAGTCGCTATCAAGTATTTTGATTTGTATTAATATTTGTTTTACTCCTCTTATTTAGGCTAACATTTTTATTATCTAACATGCCTATGCTCTTTGTAGGATAAGTATTGGTGTTCATCTAAGGTAGAGGTTTATTACTCAATTTATTCATTCAATCATTAGAACTAATACCAGCTTTAAATGCATTCATGTTTAATTTGTTTTTCATTCTATCAGCAACTTTACCTGCCAATTTCTTGTTTGCAGTAATTAATAAAGCTGTATTTTTACATTTTATCGTTTTATCTGCTTCAGTAGGTTTCTGTGTATCATCACATAAAATAGAAGTGAGTAATGTTGTCAAGTGACAAAAGAGAAATTCCATCTATTTATCTTGCTTTTGCATATTAGTAAATTAGTAAATTTAATCCTTAAGTCACTATCATGTATTTTGATTTTAATAAATGCAAACTCAGATATCAAAACAAAACATGTGAATGTTATACTTTCAGTTAAAACTTTTATTACCCACTTAATAAAATATCATTAACTGGATAATAGGTTATATATTAAAAACTATTGCTAAAATTCTATTTATCTATAATAAAATTCAATAAATTAATTTCATTTGTCAAGAGTTCATGTATCACTATGCAGCATATACTTTGGTCAAATTATCAAAAGTCTTCTCAAACTCATCATGCAAAATATTCTGATCGAAAAAGAAGTTACTTGAATCATTGTGTTGAGCCTCCAGCTTTGTATCTTTTATTTCATACTCTAGTTCAATGGGTTTAGAAAGTATCCCTGGTCGAGATATAATATCTTCAACAACATCAGATAAATTTAATTCTTCATCATCCTCACATGCTATTTGCGAAAGAAGTCCTGATAAATTACTTTTTGTTTCTGGTGTGTACGATTTGGTATGAACTTTCTTCTGGACTTTAAAGAATTGTTTTATGCTTGAACCTTGTGCATTATTTATTTTATCCACACGAGTTCTCTTTTCTCCTTTTGTTGCTTTAACTGCAGTAGGTTTTTTAGATTTCTTTTTTACATTTTTCAAATTTGTAGCCTCATTGAAAGCTGTTACTAGTTCTGGGTATTTTGTTTTTAACTAACTCTTCAGGTTCCACAGTTACCCAAGGTGAAAGACCTTTATTTACTTCTACAAATGCAACAATTGTTAAATGAATAATATTAATAAATGCAATAAATGTAAATTACCTATATAATTCAAGAACTGGTCTTCGGGAATAAGACCAGTGTAAGTGCCCTTTACATCCTCCCATATAATTTCAAAGCTTGCTGTACCTAAAACATTACAGGAATGCAATGTTAAATATTCAAATAATTTAATTAACATGTGTATATATATATATATATATATATATATATATATCTTATATATGAAATTCTTCTGTAATTATGTATGAAAATATACTCCTCCTAAACGATTATTCGGATTTTGATAAATCTTTCTGAAGTTTGTTAAGGGAATTTTTTAGGATTGTTTGGATTAAAGAAATATAGTTAGATTGTAGAAATAAATGGAAAAAATGATAAAAAACCGCTTGACATTGGAAACAAATGAAGACTGTCATTTGCCAAACATTTCCATTCACTTATAGACAATATTAGAATGTAATATATTCATGATTATGAATAAGAAAAATGTAATGTCTACATTATTATTGCCTAAAAGCTGCTGAGATGTGCCATAAATTAAAATGATATCAGATACAGTATATGGTTTGGCAGATGAACATTCACTTAAAATATGAACTTAAGTAATAAGGTACAGTAGGCCCTCGCTTTACACGGCACTCTGGGTATACGGTTCCCATACTACACGGAGCTAAAAATCCGACATCCCTCCGACTACACGGACTTCTTATTACGCGGTATTTGGTCAACAGCCCATAACTTCGTTGTTCAAAAGGGTATTGATGTAAATTTTGTTATCGACTTTTATCTTTTAGATATGCCTGATTGTATAATAGCCGCCTAAGAACACGTTTGAGCTGACTACTGCGTCGCGCCAATTTTTGAATAAGGTGTCAATGTCCTACACGTCATTTCGTCCGTATTTCTCCTACTTCAAGTTGTATTTCTTGGTCTCCATACAACGCGATAAAAATGGTGCGATTTGTACCAACTCTGAGTCTCTCATAACACGGTTCCCATACTGCACTATGTAAGGTTCCATACAACGCACTACGAATTAGCCTGAATTGTATGTTAAATACGAGTTTCTTACAGCACGGTTCCTATACTGCACGGTACGCACTTGCCGCGTAAAGCGAGGGTTTACTGTATATCAAATTAATATTAAGAAAAATGTAATTTAGATATTATTACTGAATATGAAAACTGTTTTTCATAATCTCACCTTTCACCTGAGATATGAAAATAATGTATATATAAATAAATAAAAAAAAATTAATATATAGTACAGGATTATAAAAATTATGGGCAACATTATTGAAGCAATTATTTTGAGTGAAAAAATCCAAGCTGATATTGTACCTTTACCGCGTATACAATATATTAATTCTTTCTGAATTCGTTATACCGTTTAAAAGACTCCAATTTCCAATATGTATATCTTATATATATATATATATATATATATATATATATATTTCTATTTACCTTTCACTTTTCTCCTTTTGTGGATCACCTTTGGTTTTAATGTGCAATTGCTACTTTCGGTTTTCAAATGCCACCTTGTCAGCAAAGGTAGAAACTTTTGAAATGAATAAATTTCATCCCATTCTAATACATTAGACATAATACTCTATAAAAATTAAATACCATATTAACAAATTAAATAATTTTATTACAAAAAGCACAAAATACTCACAACAAATTCATGCAGCACAGGCATGCTCCAAGACAAATTAAGATGCGGTTTATCAGAAGGCTTTGTTAAAAACTCATTTATTATTTCTTCATCAGGAAATTTGGGATTGACAATAGCTTTTTTGCGAATTGATAACTCATTCTTCAGAAGTATGTTTTTTCCTCTGATATTAAAAATGAATTTCAATAACAAATGATTTCATTTAGCAATAGATTATTCTATAAACAATACCTATACTCTGTTACATTGCACCCCAAAAATGTTGAACACGAACTGCAGCCGGATTTTAAGTGTTTTCTGAGATTACCCAAATGACCGCATTGGTTGCATATTCTTTTATCTGCCACTTTTGCTTCCAAGATACCGAATTCATCATTGTCGCGCCATGAACGCATTCTAAATTGTAATATGTATAATATACTTATTATATATATGCATTCTGAATAAAGTTGCAGAATAGATGAAAGGTTATCATATACCAGTACCATTTCTGCTTGGCTATGAATTAATATTCACATGCAAAAAATAAATATTTTTATATACTATTAGCTATCTGTGGGGCGCATAGCATAGTGCCTTAAGGCAAATTGCTGGAACTTCCCATACCGTAATTAAACATTCGTAGAATAAAATTAATCAGTCAACAAAAATGTCTATGAATAAATATTATAAAAACTAGAATTTTCATTAGTTGTTCCTTGTAGACAAAATGTTAAAACCTATTAGATTAGAAGACGTTGTTTATATGTTTGAATGAAATATATATAAACAAAATCTAATTAAGCGGACTTATTGTTACCATGAACATATTTTATTTCAAATGCATCGATTTTTCGTTCGCGAAATATATGCGCTGAGTTAACAATTGTAAATAGTTCATGTAGTATCAACTACACAAACATAAAAAGTTAAATATGGATTCTTCGGATACAAAATACAGAAAAATACATCATAATATAATGATCATATGACCCATTTGTCAAGATGAAAATGAAAGAAATTTTTAGTAAGCTTATGCTAAAGTTATTTCCTTCAACTTCATGTAATGCTTGACTTATAGACCTAAGTCTGTTTTTACACGGTCTTTTTGTACACGGTTTTGATATAACACGGTTTGAAAATTGAATATTTTTAATTTTTTTACATGATTTTATTCCATTTAGCACGATTTGAAATTTTATGTACTTAAATTTTTTTCATCAAATTTAATTTTTGCAAAGTATGTTCATATCACAAAAAAGTATTTATGAAAGAAAAAAGTCTGAAACCATCGATAGTATCGATAGTTTGCGAACACTAGCTTAAAGATTTAAGTGAATTCCCCTTTAGCGGGTACAAACAATTTTTACTGGTCAAAGCAAATGTGAATAGCACTAATTTAGGGGAATTATTACCCATTTTTGTATAAGATCAATGTCTTTTTTTACACATTTTTTTTTTTTACACGGCTTCTTCTGGAACCAATCTCCGTGTAAAAACAGACTTAGGTGTATTTATTTTTTTATTTATTTAATGCCCCTGGCAATATTTTAAGGTTTATTAACGTTTTCATACCATTTATTCTTTAGTAAGCAATGAAATTTTAGGTGAATTATGTTTAAATGAACTTACCACTTGCAACCATTTGGAATGAAATTATAAATTTTTCAAAGCGTCGAGATAATAATTTTCTCACCTATTTATAGCATTATATTTGAAACAATCTCTGGTATTTTTGGTCCATTATTAATGAGAATGCCCAATGTCATTACTTTTGCTTCAGAATTAAAAATATCATAAGAATTTACTAGAAGTACAAATCCATTTTGATGTATGAAATATTTCTTAATTTTTAAAAGTTCTTTAAGAATAGCATTGATTATTTATTGATCAATAATTGATACTGATCAACTGTATCAATAATACGGGGCCCCCAATCTACCAAGATAAAACTATAACTTTAAATTTTTGTCACAATTTTGAATAATTATAATAATAATGTATGTAAAGTTTCATCAAATTCGCTAAATCCGTTTTTAAAAAAATGCAATTTCAAAAAAATTCACAAATAGAAAATGATAAAAACATATTCTTTTAATTTCATGCATTTTTTGTATTTTATGAAAAATCTTTACTTTAGGAGGGCCCCCAAAAAAATTTGATACAGAGTGTTGTATGTGCATTTGATAATAATTGGCAACATATAAATACCTGTCCAATATTTTATCATCATCATAAACTTCGATTAATTTCAATGCTGCATCTCTGCCAACACCTCCGACTCCTTCAGGGCAGTAGTCACAACCGCAAAGCAGTGCTAGGCAAATCATGTGATTACGTCCAATTTCTGTAAGCAAAAAATAAAAGTTGCAAACAATTGGTAAAAAACTATTGAGTTCAATATAGTAAATTTAAAATATTACTTTTTACTTCCTGAATTTTTTTCAAATCATAAACATCAACTGATCCACCTTGTGTATTTTGTTGAGATATACAAAAATTTCTATACACACGTGTTGCTCCGTAGCCAAAACAATCAGAGTCTTGACTAATTATTCCATCTACGTACTAAAAAAATAAATGAATAATATATTATCTTTAAAAATATGAACTAAATAAAAAAAAACGCATTTATTTATGTATTTTAACCTTTGAATATAGTTTCAAACACATGGTATATACCTAAAGAATTTAAACTACGCATTTATTACCTTCAACTCATTTAAATAGGCACAAAATGCTTCTGCTTCACCAGGACCAGAAACGCATTTGAGACCTAATGCGTTAAGTAGTTTTTCACATTGCTTTTGCACTGCATTAAACCTAGACCTGTTTCCAGTCTTCTTCTGGCTTTTCTCTTTATTAGTTTCTATATTTCTTGGCTTGGCACCTCGGAATTGAATCTCATTTCTTTTGCTCATGGTATTTGATTTCATTGAGGGTGCTTTCCCTTCTAATACAAATACTGGCACAGCACCGATCATGAGCAAGCAACATGTTCGAAAAAATAAATTACTGTAGAAGAAGACAAGATGATATATAAGTTGACATCTTTGAGTGTAAATTAAATAAAGCATTATCTATTATACAGAGCTATGTAAAACTACCGTATGAACATGTGAGGTTGAACATAGTATTCAACTATATTTTGACTGTCACAAATCCATCCTGATAAGTCAATTGCAACAGTCTTTCCTTCTAATTGATATAGCGGCCTGCGTTCACTAAATGGCTCTAATATGGTCCATAATTCTTTAATCCCCATTTTAAAATCTTTGAAATATTCTGTGTTAAAATAATATTCTCATATAACAAATATTGGTAAAAAATTATTCTGTTGATGTGATAAAAATAACATTTTATATAATATTACTAGCTGCTAGTCAATAATCAATAAACATATTTACATAATTGAAAAATTACATTAAAATATAAATAATAAAATTTTTAATTTCAATTTTATAAAATGAAAACAAACAAGTAGAAGCAGTACGTCAGTTGCAAGAAGAGTGAAGTTAGTTAAATGTAAAAACTAGCGCCACTGCGGTGCCTTTTTAAATCTAATCACCTTGATTGGCGCGTATTTTAAAATACAGATTTTCCAAGTTTTTTTTTCAATTAAATTTAGGTTAAACAAAAAATTTAACACTCAAAAACAGTTTACTCCAGTTTTATCTTTTTTAATATAGTACATACTCAACTTTTTAATAATTTCCATAATTAATGCATCAAATCTAAAACTAATTATAACGTATTTTCTAAACATATTAATGCAGGTACTCATTAAAAAAAACAATACACAATATTCTTATAATATTGCAGCATCCGAATGGAAGAGTTGTTTTTCTTTATTAAAGTACTTTGAAGTCTTAATTGTCAAACTTCGTAACATAACCTTAATTTAGAATAAACAATTAGTAATCAAGATTTGGATATGAATATGAAAATAAAAGCTGCTTTAATAGACCTTAGTGGAACTTTGCATATAGGCAATTCCATAATTCCCAACAGTATTAATGCATTAAACGAGTAAGCTCAACATTTTCCCTAGCAGCATTTATTCATCACCAATTAAATTATATATAGAATTCTGTTCTTACTTATCTGTTTAGATTACAAAGTTCTGGATGTCTAGTAAGATTTGTAACAAATACTACCAAAGAAAGCTCCAAAGCTCTTCATGGCAGATTACAAAAACTGGGATTTCCGATCAAAAAGGAAGAAATCTTCACAACATTAACTGCGGCTAATAATATAATAACAGATAGAAAATTAAAACCATTAATGCTTGTTGCTGAAGAGGCCCTTGAAGATTTTACCTGCAATGAAAATCAAAATTCAGAAGAATTTGATTCTGTCGTGATCGGTTTAGCGCCATCAGAATTGCACTATGAAAAATTAAATGCAGCGTTTAGGTAATAATAGATATATATATATATATATATATATATATATATATAATTCACAAATAACATTTATAGTTAGTCATATAGACTAATATATATGCAGAATATTAACAAAAGGCGGACAGCTTATAGCCCTTAATACAGGAAAATACTATATGAGAGAAGATGGGTTAGCTATCGGAGCAGGGTTTTTTGTAAAAGGTTTAGAATACTCAGCACAAACTAAAGCTGAAGTTGTTGGAAAACCAAATGCTTCATTTTTTAAATCTGCTGTTCTCGGACACAATGTTACATGTGAAGAAACAGTTATGATTGGCGATGTAAGCTATTATTTATAATATTTTACAATTATATATTGAAAATGATTTATAAAATGTGCAGGATGTTACTGATGACATTGAAGGAGCTCTCAAAATAGGCATGAAGGCTGTACTAGTGAAAACTGGGAAATATAGGCCTGATGACGAATTAAAAATTTTGCCACTGAAACCAACTGCTGTTGTTGATTCTTTTCCAGAAGCTGTAAAATTTATCCAAAGTCTACTATAATGAAGTGATGTAGTTTATTTAAATGAAGGTCAACAATATTTTATTTTGATTGATGTAATATTTTGTCTATGAATTTAGATTTTAAAATTATTTAAAACATGTCTATCAATGTTTCAAGGTATAGTAAATTGTTATTATAAAATTAAATAGAAGCTTTGTAGCATGATTTTAATAATTTATATGTTTAAAACATATGTTAATATAGTGAAAATATTACAGCAATATTTTATAAATTATATATAATAGTTCAATCAGCTAAAATATTTTTCACAATAGCAATAGCAAGAGTGCAGTGTTAAAAAAAAAGTTATTTAATGTTAAAAAATATCAAACTTTGCAGAATATCTGTAAAATTTTGATCCAAAGTATATATTTTGGAAAATAAATTATAAAATCAAAGCATTTATTATCTTTCATATCAACAACTATATCATTTAGCAATTATGAAAAATTCTATTGTTGCTAACTTTTGTGTAAATATTAATTAATAATTCAGTAACAATTACTTTCAAGTTTTTTAAACATTTATAACAAAAATTACATTCCTTTACTCACATATCATATATTATCTTCAATTATTTCTTCTTTTTCTTAGGTTTTCCTCCAATAGGTGCGGGAATCTTGAAGACGGTTCTGCAATAAACAAATTTTTATACTCAAAAGTTTATATAATTAATTGACAATATTTAAAATGTATTTATATACTCACTGGCAAGTTGTGCATATTGGACTGAATTTGCAGAAAACTAAAAACAAAAAATTCATTTAAAAAAATCTCATAAAGAATGCAATTCAAAATCAAATCAACATACTTGAAAGGCACACGGAGCACACAAAACCTATATCTATCAACTCCCTATGACAGAAGCATGCCGCACGATAATCAATTTTAACAGGTGGAGGTAGAACTAACTTACATCTCACAGGCTGTTCAGGTAAGAATACCCACTGCAACATATAAATCCAATATTATTATATGAAAATTACAATATTTGTTAAATATAATGCTGTACCAAAAGATACTGCAGAAGTCCTTCGTAATGAGTTTGTGGTAAAGTTAAATATTGGCCTCCTGTAATGTCAGTACCTTGCTGCAACAAACTTAATGTAGTCGTACTGTCTAATGAACATACATCTAATATAACATTTAATTTATGGGCTGTGAAAAATACATTCATGTAGGTCATGTACTGAGATGCTAGGTAATGACTACTTCCAGTTATGATTAATATTCTTGAGTTCATCCGAGTGCCGGGGACTAGTGATCTTTGAACCTATACAAATTATATAAACATAATATATCGAATTTATAACATTAAGTATACATTTATTAAAATTTTTTGTTTACCCGAGCAATATAGCATAAGGCCATGGACATAGCACCAGCCAATAGGGATTCTTGAGAATGATTACTTGTTTTTTCATTCAAAAGTATTTCAGCAAGCTTTTGCTTAACAGTTTTCTCAACCATTGTAAAAACTTCATATTGACCATCGACTTGCCTGATATCTAGCTGATTTCTCGGATTTGGAAATAAAAATTCCCTAAAAATGTTCTAAATTCTTAAGATTTTACAAGGGAAAAAATAAATTCAAGTAGATGTTTTGGTTATCATATTGAAACATATAAAGAGATTTTTATTATCCTTACGTTGATGTTGAATGGCAAGCTAATACAGCTAATTTGTTCTGAGCCTTTTGCATAAGATGTGCATTTCCAAATGCAATTGTAGATTCTACACATTGTGTCCACATCTGCGGACATTTTTTAAATATGCCTTGGGACGGATTTGTGTCGAGTATAATTGTTAGTAAGCTTATATCTTTACTTTCTGAAAAATAGAATTAATTATACAACATATACCAACAAATTGGGAATAAAACTATAAAAAATTAAAACACCTTGACTCATGCTTAATGTAAAATATTATGTATAATAACCATGAACTTTAATTGTTGAACAAAATCTTTTTAATAAAGTTCTTTTTGACATTTGTTCCGAAATTCAAAATTATATGAAGACGAAGTGGAGTGAAGTTAGCATTACGATTTGACATTTGACAGTTGACAAAATGGTTATATCTTTTTGTTCTTAATCTTTGCTTAACATAAAATAAATATAACCTTATTTTATGAATGACTTTTATTGAGAAAAATAAAACGAATGCTCGATATATTTACAATATTTGTCACAGTTGTTTGTAGAAAAAAATGAAACAGGCCAACAATAGCTTTTATGCTTTGTGAATAAGGTTGGAATTTGTATTATTATTACTTGATACCTTAAATCAATTCTGTCACAATATTAATAATTAATAATTATACAATAAATTATGCATATATTCTTCAAATAATTATTTATACCTGTACAAATAATTAAGTCATTCTTGGCTATAGAATAATTGATCTGGATAATCAATGTAAATACAATAGAATTCTCAGTGGATAATGTTTGATCTGAATGTAAAAGATCTACTAAAGATAAAATTATCTAATGATTATTGCTAATCAGTAATCTTTTATATAAATATTTACAGTTTTAGATTTGTTGAAAATCTTTTAGAGCCATAAATCATGTCAGACGAAGAAGTTATAAGAAGGCGGTTGTTAGTAGATGGTGATGGAACTGGCGATGACAGAAGACTGAATATATTGTTTAAGACAATGCTGAAATGGTGTAACTCTACAGAGGACATGGAAGAAAGGTATCATTTATCTACTCATCTAGATATAGAAACAGGAAAATAATTTTATGAACTTGACCTTTTTAGTTCGAACGTTAATCTTATTTTATTATTATCCTTTCTAGTTATGCTACGCATGACAAAATGCTGGCACTGCTCACACAATGTGAATATGCTGTGACAAAGTCACAATTATCAGCTGAAATGACTGCTTTAGAATTGCGTCAATATGAAACTATGTCAGCTGCTATAGAAAAGGGTGTTATTGATGCTCGATCACATATAGAAAGTAGTAAAGAAGAACTAAGGGTTGCTAAAACTATTAGAAGTAATCGAATGCAATACGATTCCCTGGCTCGAATCATTGCAGAACATCCAGATAGACAGTGAGTAATAATAAAATACTATTTAATGCTGGATATATCAATTTGAAATTCTCAATGACTAAATATATCAATTCTTATTTATTTAGAGCTACTCAAGAACAACTAGATAAGCTCTATTCCGAAATCGATACATTGAATAAAAAATATAAAACCTTTCAAGAAAGGCTTGATGAGAGGAAAAAAGAATTCAATGTATTTGTTACATCTATGCATGAGTTATTGGCAATGCTGGATAGTTCGGATAGTACACCAGACAATGATTTGAGTTTGGAAGGATTTGAAGATGTAATCGATATGGATCGTTATGGTGATATGGATGATTCAAAAATGGATGAATGATCTTTACACATTTATACTTACAAGGAATAAAGTATTCGCCTCTAAACGCCCAACTGTATGTTTTGTCGGTATGTTTATTGTATTATTTTTCAAGAAGATATGCGATGTGTTGAAATTTTGAACATTATTCACGTGTCATTTTTTATACTTCTACTATAATAATAATAATACTTCAAAAATTATTTTTTAGTTTTATTTACTAATATAAACTTAAATTTTTCAATAAAAAATTGACTGTCTTAATGGGGTATTGTAATATTTACATGTAAAAAAATTAATGGAACATGAAAACTGTGGAATTATGTGACAAAATTGAAATCAGATAAATTTAGAGTCATGAACTAGCCTTGTTGACAAATTTATGAAAGATATATATATATATATATATATATATATATATATATATATATATAATAAAGCGGAACCCCGACTTACGAGTGTTACGAGATACGAGCCGCCAAAGGAGCGATTCGTTGCTTCGACATACGAGCAAAATTTGAGATATGAGCTTTGAACAATATAAAATTAATCTTAATGAGTAAAATCTTAAACTTTTCCCCGAAACACCAATATAATTTTACCAATTAAATTACCAATTAAATTCTAAAAAAACCTCTTTAAAATGTTTCAAATTTATCCACGATTTTTCTGTTTTTCGGATATATAATGTACAATTTCAAACACAAAATTTAACTTGATCAATATCTTATCATTTCTGAAAAATTCAAAATATATTTTCCATTTTCCTGTTGGAAGGAAAAATGAGGGAAGCATGTCTTCATCCACATGCAAATATCCGTAGTAAGTATCCTGAAACATTTTAGAAACTGAGCACCACCTCAAATTCAGCTCCATAAAATAAAATATTTACAATAATAGATTATTATGCAGAATAAAAAAATAAATATACCGGAACTACGGGACATTGTTTTGGAAACTTCTGACCAGGTCCATACACTATGTCTAAAATCGGTTTTTTGAGTTTCTCGAAAACTTGAGATGCAAATCCTGGTTCGTTTGATGGTGCCAATGTGTTAACAAATCTACATAAATCTGTACCGAATTTGGGAAATGATTCCTTGAATCTATTGCTGACTAATTGGTAAAACTGACCATACACCTGTAATAGAGTTCAATTATCTACATATATATAAAAATAAGTCGGGTTTTCCTTCCTGACGAAATAACTCCAGAACGCTCCAGAAACCGATTTCGACAAATTTGCATTCTTTGGAATGGTCTCCGCAAGGTTTATAGCTAAGAAAATTATTGGTGCATAGCATCGTGCCCTAATGCAAACTGCTGAATTACGGAACTTCAGGCACCGTAATTAAAAATTGAAGTAATGACATTAGTGAGTATTATCACAATTATACTTGGTTAAGTCAACGAGCAATTCTTGCCGCAAAGAATAATGATGTACACGTACTGAATTTCACCATTCAATCAAAAATTGCTGGCGATTTGGTGACATACCAATGATTCCGACTGGTCTTCCTTTTGACTTCAAACAATTGCAATTTCCAGTTCGCCTTGCGTTCTAAATGACAATTAATAAGTCGCAAGGCCAATCGCTTTAGTGTTTGCGGAATAAATTTCAAATATATTATTTAGAAAATCATTGTTTTTCACATGGGCAGTTATACGTTGCCTGTTCACGAGTTGGAAAACCATCCGCTTTGTTTGTGTTAACGTCAGACCAAAAAACAAAAAATGTGGTTCACCAAAGAGCACTTCAATGAAACGAATAATTTGCGGATTCACTTTCATTTACTTAGAGAAGTTCAACTAAAAAATACTTCATTTTTGTAATCGAAATAAATTCATTACTGTTGTGCAACAAAATCAATTTTTGACTTTTCAAATATAAAACAACAAAAAATGCCTTTATCCTTCTCACGAAACTATCTGGAAACGGAGTTCGTCGGGTTTGCTAGTCCCATTATAATATATTCAAAGACATTTTTAATAAAATTAAATATCGACTAAAACAGCGTTTCAGGAGAACTGAAAATGTACTATTTACTCGATGAAATAAAACTTTTTTCATTTTCGTCAATATCTTATTTTTTATTTCAATTAATGTCGCTCAATATTTTCCTGACTTCATATTTTTTTTGTCGGTTTTTAGCAAATGTTAATCTCACATATGAAATTATTTTTTATATTATTTTTATTTTTATGTCGTATCTATATAAGTATACTTACATAAACTGATTCAATAGATTTAATGACAGTACCATTAATTATCAAAATTGAATAAGTCCGGTTCAGTTTTTTTACCGAAAAATCATTGAATTTGGTGAAATTTTCATCAGCAAATATTGGCTTTGCCGAAAGGAAGTTAAACCTGTAGTTTGTCTGAAAAATAAAAAAAAATACCAGATTATAAATAGAAAAAAAAACAGTAAAACTAAAAAAAATATAATTAAAAGCAAAGAAACCGGAAGTAAATCAGGAAATATTGCAAAAACTATAATTAAACATTTTTTAAATACTACGTGTACAGTTTTATTGAACTATTTGCTAATATATAAATAAATAAATATAAAAATGTGCATAATATAAATATATTTATATTATACACATTTGTTTAAATGATTTACTAATTATTACTTACCCAACATCTCACACTGCCAAAAAGAACAAATATTGCTAACAAAATCTGGTATTTGTACATTATGTAGAATAAATACATAGTGTCCATCAACTTTTTTAAAATACAATTATAACAAACGGAGTGTGCAGACAATGACAATTCTTCATTTTCCATTTCCTATTTAATAATTGATGATCATGATGACTATGTAAAAATAATAACTATATTAGGTCTGTTATCAACAAGCATATTATAATTAGCTTGTTGAAAACAAATCTAATATAGTTATTATTTATTTTTACATAGTCATCATGATAATCAATTATATTATAATATAATTATAATAATAATCTATATATAGATATGCATATTCAAAATCAATGCGTAATATCAGTATATTTCATGTCTTTGTTAATAATTTTTTTTATTATTTTTTCATCTTTGTCTGCAGTATCGTCGGCGTATAGGATGTATTTTCCCATTAATTTTGCCTCTTGAAGATTGTTTAAACAATAGATGAGATACAATAAAGGTCCTAGAACTGAGCCTTGTGGGACTCCACAGTTTACTTTGCGTCTGTCACTTGCCACGTTATCAACCATGGTCCTTAATTGTCTTTCGGATAGAAAATCTTTGATAATGCTAAGTGACATATCTTCTAATCCCAGCTCTATTAGTTTCTATGATCCATCGTATCAAAAGCTTTTTTTAAGTCTATGAATATCGCTACTGTATGCTTATTTTCTTCAAGGTGCTCACTTATGGTATTAGTTAAATCCATCAATGCACCTTGAGTATTTGATGGCGGTAAAAACACATATTGGTTTTTGTTTTTTTTGAATGAGAAAATTAAGTAATCTTTTTTTTATTACTTTTTCATGTCTAGGTCTGCAGTTATTTGGATCTGTTTTGTTTCCAATTCTAAGCAATAACAGTTAAATAGTTAGATATCCCAGTTATTATGAAAATTAAGATCAAAACAATACTAATGGATAAGTGTGTGATACCTCTGAGTTGAAGACTTGTTTGATTAATAATTTTATAAACTTTATCATTTATCCCAGAAAAATCATGTATGTTTGCATTTCTATAACATAGTACACTGCGCTCCAAAATATTTGTATTCTTTCACTAAAGAACATTTAACACTATAATGACAATTGTTTTGTCAGCGGGTGGTGTATGGCATCGTGCCTTAAGGCAAATTGCTGGAACTTTCCGTACCGTAATGAAATATTTGAGAAATTTTAAACGTTTTCAAATATATTATTACAAATACTGTAACTTTCATTACATTTGCTATCTTGTTATAACTGAGCAAATCAAATGTAAATCATAAATCAATTTATCTCCAGAACATTAACAATCGTTGTTTCATTTTGAATTCAATTTCAAAAAAAAAATTAGTTGCCTAATTTACACAAAATTGAAAAAGTATAGTCACAGTCTAAACGCATTTGCAAATAATTCTGTACGACATTTTCACTTATACTGTACTTAGCTTGGCGGCATTTTCACATTTTTCAATAGTTTTCACAAAATTGGAAAAGTGCTCCAGTACATAAACAGTCTAAACGCACTCGGGTAAACATTTGTACCAGAGAGGCGCTTAGACTGTGCTTAGCCTGGGTAATTTTTTGAATTTTTAATTCAAAATTACAAAAATATTTTATGGAAAATAAAAAAACATGTAAAATTTTTTTATCTTCAAAAGCAATTGTTTTGTCAATACAAGCAGAAAGTTTTTTATCCGATCATTCAAATCGAACGCTTACTTCACTCAAAAACGGCCATTTTTTTAACATTTAGCTCTGTATCTCCAAAACCGCTGGGGTACCTTTGCCAAAAACTAATAACCACTTTTCCCCGTCATTACGAACTGAATGTTTTTTGGATCATACAAATCGGATGATCCGTTCTCTCAAAAACTCGATTTTTATTTTTTGCACTCTTTGCTCCATATCTCCGTAACGGCTGGACCTGCCTTTGCCAAAAACTAATTAGAACGCACATCTCCTTATTAATAGGAATCGAAAGTTTTTTAAACAGCAGCAGACAACTTTTGAATACAACGAACAGGCAACGAACGCCAATGCTCTATGTCAAGAATCCATAGATAAAAGAGAGTGGCTACTACTTATAAGTTTTAAAATGAGAACACAACTTTTCTTTAGATTTGCACAATGTAGTTTGTTTTGACAGCCAATGTCAAATGTCTGAAAAATGGTTATTATTTTTGTATAAATTTGATTTTATTTTATAATCTAAATTAAATTACTTGTAAAATGCTGTTTGCATCTAATAATATTCTTTACCAGTTACATATTTTGAAACCATCATGTAGTTTTATTCTCAGAACGCAAAATTACTCAGTTGGAAGTTTCTTTAGTCGTGTTATTAATAAAACAAAAACTAGGTAAAAGATTGCATGATTGCATATTAAACATGTGCAGAAATATTTATCCTGGTTCATGAATAGTCATGCAATTTTTCCACATTTTTTCTAAATTATAATTGAGAATGTGACATGTTCTATTAATAAATTTTCTAATAATAAATGATCTTAGAATAATCAACTGCTATTTTTGTAAATAAAAGTAAATTACTTCAAATGCACAAAATATATGAATCAGCTTATAACATTTAGGTCCCAAAGCTTTAGTTATTTTATATTTTTAGAAAAGATAATGGATCATTTAAACACGTTAGGCCTGGAAAGGTCAGCGAATTAAGACATGTTCCAAGTTATATAAACAGACCTCAATATGTAATTCAACAAAAGCATATACCAGGACCTCAGCAGCCAGAAATTAAGACCACTGATCAAATTGCATCGATGAAAGAATCTTGTAAACTTGCAAGAATGATTCTTAATGTTATAGGAGAAAATATAAAAGTAAATTATCCAAAATTAATCTGTTACTGGTTGTAATTTAAACGTTTTAATTTTATCTGACTGTTTATGTTATTAGATTGGGCGAACAACTGATTTTCTAGATTCTATAGCACATGATATATGCTTATCAAATGGGGCTTATCCATCTCCATTATTATATATGGATTATCCTAAATCCATTTGTACTTCGGTAAATAATGTTGCTTGTCATGGAATTCCAGATGACCGGCCTTAGAAGACGGTGACATTATAAATGTTGATGTTACAGTAAGTAATAATATATATTTTAAAGCATCAATCGGATTGAGTCATAACTTTATTTGAATAATTAGGAATCTATATTGTTCAGTATAGGTGTTCCTGAATGGTTATCATGGTGATTGTTCTGAAACATTTTTAGTTGGCAATGTGGATGAAGCGGGGAAATATTTAGTATCAAGCACCAAAGAATGTTTAAAGGAGGTGAGAAAATGATTATGGGGATCACCTGTATATAATCTTTAAATATATATGTTTTATAAACAAATGTTTTTATAGGCAATAAGTATTTGTCAACCTGGCGTCAAATTTAATCAGATCGGTCAAGTAGTAGAAAACTTTGCTAAATCTCATGAACTAACGGTTTGCCCAGCATTTTTGGGACATGGAATAGGCCAATATTTCCATGGTGCTCCAGACATATTCCACTGTCGTAAGCATTTATTTTTACTTGTTCAATAGATAAATGATAAAGTACATTTTATCCAGAAATCTTCTTTTATCAATATGATTGAACTGCTTATTTTTGCATACTCTTATATATTATATTAAGATAAGGAGGATCTGGCAATGAAGTAATTATATCATTAGTTTTTTTTCTCTCACTTATTCTTATCTCAACGTTTTAGGTAATTCATATCCTGGTACAATGGAACCTGGTATGACGTTTACTATAGAGCCAGTATTATCACTCGGATCATCTGGATATATAGAAATTTTAGATGACGGCTGGACTGCAATCACAGAAGATAATTCAAGAACTGCACAAGAGGAACATACTATACTAATAACAGATAAAGGATGTGAAATTTTAACACTATAAAATATAGTACAGACGTCTCCATTTTCATAAAGTTTAATTGAGTTTTTATTAAACAAATTTTTGTTACTCAAGTTATCAACTCTAATAAATATTTAAATTGCATTCTTCAAACAATGAAAATGTTGTATAGCATTTAATATCATATTTGTGTTTTGTACAAGTGAATTTTGTAAATATTCATCAGAGACATTATATGTTTCTTCTATTGCTTTTTATATTTATCAGTTTCACTGTTGTCACATGTTGAACAATGTTATAAACAATTTAGTTCCATATTAAATGACTTCAATTACAATTGAAGAACAGAATTCTTTCCTTTCTTATTCCGATTATAAAACTTTACTTGACTTCATACAAAATTGATCACATGGTAAATTAATTGAACAAACACGTCTCCTAGAAGTTGGGATTATCTGATTCTGGTGAATGAGTTTATGATAAAATATAAATGAGAAATATTTAATGTAATGTTTTAAATAATAAATGTGATTGTTTACTATTGTGATATTTCTCACAGCATCAAACGTTTAACACAAGTTTCTGCAAGTCGAATTAAAAGCATAACTTTCTTTGAAAGTAAAATAAACCAATAAACTTTGTGGCTACCGGGGTGTTTAACAGCTAGTATTATCATTAGTCCTAGTCATATTATTACTTCATGAATTATTACTCTGATTTGGCGATTAATATATATTGATTTTGGTCAACATTGATTAATCGAATTAAAAGTAAGTAGACTGGTGTTGATATGTGTATAATAAAAATATCAAGATTACTACTTGTTAATTTCAATATAAAAAGGAAACTTGTATAAGATATGTTGCAAAATGCATTATACTCACTTTTGCCTAATATTGTGCAAAATATTACAAATTCTATAATGGATTGTGCAAGTGCGTGAGTCTCCTTTTATATTCTGACATCAGTTTAATTTTAATTGACTTCTAAAACACTCATTCAAATTAAATTCGTGACTAAATATATATTTTCTTCTTTTCAATTCATTCATTGTTATTCAAATAGTTTATCAAAGATTTCGGTTTGTGATTTAGTTAATTTGTCGCTAGGGGCGCTATTGTTGCATTGTGAAGTTAGGCGCGTATTTAACTATTATGACAGCTAGACATCCCTTCGTTCAGAATAAAACCTGTCGTTTATGGTAAAGAGCAAGATCGAGCTTTGTTTTGATTATCACAAAAACACGTAAATGTAAATATTTGCAAAATATGTTTGGGAAAAACATACATTTCAGTGTTCTTAATCACATTAGTGAATATCATTAAATAGTAATTATTAATAAACGCTGCGCGAAATTTTGATTGTGCTAGGTTATGTGTGAACAGAGATATACATGGTGGACTATAAGTGAGTCGATATAAACGAAAACAAAAAAATAACTTATTTAATATTGTGATTTTGTTTTGTTGAGAGTGCAATTGTGCTTTATATTTGAAAACTCTTGTTATATTTATATAAAAACATTCTGGTCGCAGTACATAAGTATTAATAAAAATAAATATTTGAAGAAGGCACAATGCAGCATTCATACAGAACCCACGATTCTAATAAATCTGTGAGTTTAGATTCTTATATAAATGTAGATAGGAATAAATATTATATATATATATATATATATATAAGCATATACATACTATATAAATTTATTACAATATAGATTTATGAAGTTCTGAGCTTATCTCACCATTGCATATAGATTAATAAAAATAATAATTGTACTACAATATATTTTATATGATATTTGAAGTCAGATAAAAATATGTCAGAGTGTGTTGTGTATTTCAAAACTATAAAATAAAAATTATAGCTACAACCCAAAGCACACTTTCTTCTATGAATTCAATTTAAAAAGTAAACTCTTTTTTAAAAACCCTTTCTTTTGGATAAGTCATTTTTAATGAGCAGAATTTCTAAATTCAAAGACATGTTTAGGATTAAACAGTTTAGTATACTAATCTTCTAATTTTTTATTGAAAAATTCTGTTCATTGAAATCTGATCATGTGTCTACAAAAATAATATAGATGTTCAGAAAAAAGTATCAATAGATGAGAAATCATCATTGCGCATACTTTTGTTGCATGTATAATTGTATGTATATTCCTAGTTCATACCCAATCGAATCTCAAGAACCTTATTCAATGTATTTCGATCCAAGCAAATGTCATCATCTGGTAAATTAATCCTGCATCCTTCTCAATCCTCAAGAATTGTTTATCATCCTCCAATATTTTCCAAGCAGCTTCCTGACAGTTTGCGACAAGAAATTGCCAATCAACTAGCCAGAGAGTATAACATAGGAAAGGTGACGAAAAATTAATAACAAAAGTTGAAAGTTGTCCATTAAATATACCATAGATGTCATATATATATATATATATATATATATATAATTATCTTAGTAATTACCTTTGGAAAATTTGGTTTGAATTTGGGATTTGCTACTATTTAACATAAACAGTAAAGACAGAGTAAAACCTTGTAATTGTTTAGTACAACTTAATATTACAATTATATCAATATTAAGTACAACTTAATATTACAATTATATCAATAAATTATAATTGTATCAATTTTATTTCACCAGATAGACCAACTTGGAACATCAACCTCGACATCTCAATATCGATTATACAGCCAAAAACCACAAGAGGAAAAAGGCTCACAAACTCCGGAAAAAGGTTCAAAAGATGATGATCAAAATTTATCTCCATCTAAATTAAGAGCTAAATTGAGAGCCGAACTGGAGCAAAGGGCTAGATCTTGTTTGCATGCCGGATACAAGTACGATAAATGATTGTTTACTAATTGTAAGATTAGGATAGATGAAAGATAGTATTAATTGTATAATTAAACTAAACACTCTGTCACCTAGGAATTATCGGATTTGAATGAGATAATGATAAATGACCAATTTTTAATCCTTTTATATGTATATTTATAATAATCTATTTGAAAACATTTAATATTTCTCGATTATTTCATTGTCATACAAGAAGTTCCAGCAATTTGTCTTAAGGCACGACTAGTTGCTTTATAATGATGCCTGATATCAATAAATAATCAAAAATATTTTTTTCTCTGTAGATGTAGCCGGCCACCAGCTACTCCTGCCAGCGACTATTGTGCTCTTCACATTCTGCAGGCAACTGGCAACAATGACCCCGCCCTGGTGCACTACACCCGTTGTGCCTATGTCTACTCGGTCAACGGCCGAAGGTGCCCCAATGCCGCCCCAAAGAAGCGCTCTTTACAAAATTCGCTGGGCGCTACGGGTCCTACCAGAGCGCCGCATCAGATGCAAAATCAGAGGTAGGATGATAATAGAATTTTGGATAATTGGAATTTGAACTATTGACTTTCCGTAGGGTAAGTTATAGTAATCGCAAAAAAATTGCAAAAAAATCGAAAATTGAAATTTTTATATATCTTTACGTTTCAGCGGTTTCTGAACATTTTCGCATATCTTAGAAAAAATTGATGTATTTGTGTTTTTGTGTGCTGATACAAACTTTTCGTCGAGAATTTCGGGAACACCGATTAACCGATTTGAATAATTAAAATAACATTTGATTCGTATTGATAAGGAGACGTGCTGATTAGTTTTTGGCGAAGGCAGGTTTAGTCGTTCCGAAGATACGGGGCAAAAAGAGCCAAACATGATAATTCAGTTTTTGAGAAAACGGAGCGTCTGATTTGAATAATTCAAAAGACATTTTATTTATATTGACAAGATGAAGAACTGATTAAATTTTTAGAAAGGCAGGTCCAGCAGTTACGGAGTTTCAATTTAAAAAAGTAAAAAAAAATGCTATTTGGCAGTCAAAAATATTCATTAGACATATGCACATCAAATTATCAGACATTTTATAGATATTTTAATAATATGAACACATTTTGTGTCCATTTTTTTGGGTTTCGTACCAAGATTTTTAATTTTAAAATTTACTTTATATGGTTCAAACAAATGTCCTCGACATTTTCGACAGTATGGAATAACCGATTTGAATGATTGAAAAAACATTCGGTTAGTAGTCAATCGCGAGGAGTTTTTGCAAAAGGCACGCCTGACCGTTTCGGAGGTATGGAGCGCAAAGGGTGTAAAATGGTTATGCAGTTTCTGAGAGAACTGATCATCCGATTAGATTAATTCAAAAATCATTTTACATGTGTAGACGATGTGAAAAAAATGGTTTTACTTAAAATTTCCTATTTCAAACATTTTCAAAAAAAAAATCATACTTTAAAAAATAATCGATTTCTTACAAAAATTTTAGATTATTTCGAAATTTAAAAAAAAAAATCGAATGTTTTCAAAGATTTCCAATTTCTCAAAAAATTAAAAATAAAACGATTTTTTTTAAAAAAAATCGAACTTTTAAGATATTTTCAAAATTCTAAAAAAAATCAAAATTACCAGAAAAATCTAATTAAAAAATTAAGAAGTGAAAAGATATTAGGTTGTCAAATATCTCCCTTCCGCCTTTTTGTATTATAAACCAATAGCAAAAAAGCGGAAGGGAGATATTTGACAACCTAATATTTGGTGGTCATAAATTAACATTAGACGTATGCACATCAAATTATCAGATATTTGATGAAGTTTTTAAAAATGAGTACTAATTTTTTTGTTACAGTTTTGTTGGGTTCCGTACCAAGATTTTTAATTTTTAAAGTTTAAGCAAATTTCAAAATTTTCCGAAAAAAAAAAATTCAAAATTTTCAAAAATATATTACAAAGTTTTATACTTCAAGTATGAATTTTAAATTTACAATTCAGTTTGGAAATGTATATATTTCAAATGCGTTATTCTAATCGTAATAAATATATCCTCAGATGGATTTATTCGGCACCTCTTGTTAATGTAAACATTCTTAAGCACTTTGAGCGATGAGATCCTCACTGTATATTTTAGGAACGATAAAATATATAGTGATTATAATCATCTATTTGAAAATGTATAAAACAATTGTTGTAAATCATCGATCAGTTGTTATTGATTACTTATTTTTTTCCTCGAATGTTCAATTACGGTACGGAAAGTTTCAGCAATTTGCCTTAAGGCACGATGTCATACACCTCTAGTTTATATTATCTTATTTATGTTTCCAGTTACTGCTTCGAACACAGCAGACTCACTCAGCGTTCTCGGACGAAGCAAGTGGCGCGACGAAAGCCCCCACAGGGCTTGGATTCCGCATTGTGTGGCTTATCGCACTATCTCGTTAAATCGTCGAATTTAAATCCAATGAAATCTGAGAAAAGCACAAATCCAACTGAAAGTAATCAGTCGTCACAATACTGGACACCCAATACTCGAGACAAAGAGGCGGAAAAGGAGAAAGAAACACTTAAAGTTGAATTAGATGAAAATGGAAAGATTGTTCCATTGGATCCAATGAGTAAGTAAATATTTAACTTGCCTTAGGGTGAGTTATTGAAATCACGTGAAGAAGTGTGAAGAAACTATTAGTTTTTTTTAACTTCCCGTAGGGCAAGTTACAGTAATCGCAAAAAAATCGAAAATGAAAATTTTTATTTATCTTTACGTTTCAAAACCTTCTGAACATTTTAGCATACCTTAGAAAAAATGGATGTATGTGGATGTGTGTGTTCGGATACAAATTTTTGTCGACGATTTCGGGAACACGGATGAAGCGATTTGAATAATTCAAAAAACATTCGATTTGTATTGATAAGGAGACGTGCTGATTAGTTTTTGGCAAAGGCAGGTCTGGTCGTTCGGAAAATATGAGGCAAAAAGTGCCAAAAACGGTAACTCCGTCTTTAAGAGAGCGTCCGATTTGAATAATTCAAAAAACATTTTACTTGTATTAACAAGATGAAGAACTGATCAAATTTTCATGAAGGCAGGCCTAGCGGTTTCGGAGATCTAGTAATAAAAGTAAAAAAAAAAAAAACGCCATTTGGCGGTCAAAAATAAATATTAGACATATGCACATCAAATTATCAGATATTTTATGGAGATTTTAACAATGAGTATAAATTTCGTTTATATTCCTATGGGTTCCGTAATAGACGGCGACGCGGCGCTTACGCGCTTCGTTATTTCGTCTCTATGCAGTTAAAGCAGTACGATTGCTTTGAAAAAAAGTTCAGAATTTCCAAAATATGTCAAAATAAAGAAAACATTTTTTTCCCAAAATAATTTTTTTTTTTGAAAAAAAAAAAGTAATTTTTTGTCAAATTTATAGTTTCTCAAAAATCTAATTATTTCGAAGTAAAATTTTTTCAAAAATGTTAATCGTTTTTAAAAAAATAATAATTTTTGGTACGGGAAGTTCCAGCAATTTGCCTTAAGGCACGATGCCATGCGCCCCACTAGTTTTTCAATATTTTATAAAAAAAATGTATGCAAAATAAATATATTTTTTTGAATATCTTAAATAATTTGGTTCTTAATTTTAATTCTACCTAAAATTCTAAAGTTCACTTATATACTTCAAATTTTAACTTTGATATTCAGTTTATATGATTCTTAGAAATATCAGATAAGATCGTTAAACGTCATCGTCCAATTTATAAGCTTTTGTATTTTGTCTATTTGAAATATGAATATTTTATAATATAAGAATTTATAATAATTTATTTGAAAACTTTTAATATTCTTTGAATATTTAATCATGATAATGGAAGTTCCAGCAATTTGCCTAACATACACCACTAGTTTTATTCATTTTTAATGGTTTGTTTTATTTTCAGAAGACGTAGATCCACAACAAGTTGAAAAATTGCGACATCCTTTACAATATGCATCATCAACTGAGAGCGAGGATGAGGAACCTATTATTTACGGTGATGTGGACCAAAGCGTTGGATTTTTAGGATCTGATGACGAATGTTTAGATGATTTTACTGGCGAAGATCCACTCAAGTAAATAACTTAGTTATAATAAAAAAAATTGCATTTCTGAATTGCAGAAATTTTCATATTTTCAATACCAAGAACAAGCATAAGAGAGCGTTGCCCCAGAAACCAGAATTGCCCCTTTAATTCTACAATATGAGATCAGCAGTATTATGAACAATGTATATGACTCCCTTTCCAATTATTATTTACAGACATGCAGGAATATATACTGCAACAGAAGCTAATATGATACTGCGAAATAAACTGTCCCGACTTCAAGATTTATATGTAGATCAGTTTAAAGTTATGCAACAGGAATTGAAAATGAAAAAAATGAAGTTGATTCCTGCTCTAAAGAGAGAATATGAAACATTGTGTTAGTATTTTGCTCAATATTATAGCACATTAGATTATAGATAACTAAAGTAGATATTATTCTCAGGTAGTGTAGAAGATCAACCTAAAGATTCTATGAAGGAGTTAAATTTATATAGAAAGTTGAAGGCTTTCAAACGCTATAATAAGAAATCTGGTGTTGAAGCTATTTTGTATGAACGATCTCTTGAAAGAACAGCTAAGGTGAGAAGCAAATAATAATTATTTCAGTGTTGGAAGTGTACAACAATTGTTTTTTATATTTAGTCAATTAATTGCTCTTTCAGTACATGGACGGTCACAGTAAATTCTCTTTACATAAACCTCATGGAGGTCATCATGGTGGGGGCCCATCTGCTGGACAAAAGTGCATATTTTCAGAAGGTGGCATCAAATGTACGGATAAGCCAATGCCATGCACTAAATATTGCAAAAGGCATATTTTGCAAGATAAAAGACAGGTGAATAAATAATGACTTAAATTAAGTTATTATTTTTCATAACACATAATTGTTTATGTTAATGTTTTAAATTTACTGTATATTTTAATTTGTAGATTTTATTCAAGCCCTGTGCCATGGAAATAGGAGATGTTTGCTGTAAAGAGCCCATAACGGGCATTCTAGAAATTGATACATGCCCATTACATTATAAAATTCCGGAGCCCAGAACATATAATATTCGGGTTAGTTTGCATGTATATTAATTTCAGATTTGCTTAATTAGATTCGTTGCATGCTGCACTGTCCTCACACTATTGTAACAATTCTTGTTCCTTCATTCCTATAATTTTTTTTCCTCAAAAACTGAAATATTGTGATGATGAACATTTGTTGCCATTTATGATAATCAGTATAGTTAAACAAACAATTAAACTTCTAACTTCTAATGCAATTTTTCAAAAAACTGTGTTTTTATTATCGTCTTGCTGACTTGCGTCAAGTCATTGTATCATTTGTTTTTATACTTTAAAAAATATTATCATAGAGTAGAATTAATAGTTTCTGGCATAATTTTTTCACTCTTTCCAATTATAGTCTTTCCAATTATTAGTCTTTTGTTAGTGGTCATATCCAGATATAGGTAATTTTTTAATAAGTGAGTCTTTTATCTAAATATTAGTTTCAATTCTTATTTCTCATTTACATGTTACTTCTAAATAGAGAAATTGCACCTAATTCGAAATGCTATTTCGAAGAAATTTTGCATTGGAATGCGATGAGATCTGGATACTGTTTTGAATTGTATGAATGCTGAATGCAAGTAATAATTGTTTCTGTTAGTGATTTGTTGTTAAAACATATAAAATATTTATAACTGTTGATTTATAACTTATTAAATATAACTATAGGTAGTACAATTTAGTAATCTTTTTTTTATTATAACATGTAATTGGCTTTATATTTATATGTATATACTAGATGACCTGACAGACGTTGTTGTGCACAACAATTAATTGTCTACAATTTTTTAATATCCTATACTAATATTCACAGTTTACTTAAAAATAATATTTATTGTTTTTTAAATTGCTCTCCACACCAAAATGCATATACATCAATATGAGCGATGTTAAATATAGAACTGCCTTAAATAAAATGATCTCAATTCCCACACTATTTTTAGAAATTAAAGTCTTTTAAACGGTATACTAAATTCTGAAAAAATTAATATATAGTATCCGCGGTAAAAGTACAATATTACATTGGATTTTTCGGCCCAAAATAATTATTCCAATAATGTTACCCATAATTATTGCAATCTCAAATTATATTCTAACTGGTTTTTAGTAATTATTGTATCTAAATTACATTTTAGTAATTATTTAATATACATTATTATCAGGGACGCTCCTGGGGTCTTTTTAGCGCCAGCACACCATTTTTTTTCTACAATATTACTATATTTTTATAAACATATAATACATAATACTAACAAACTTCAGAAAGATTTATCAAAATCCGAGAAACCGTTTAGGGGAAGTATCAAATCATACACCCATACAGAAGAATTTTGTATATAAGATATTATATATTTGCCTTTTCGGATGGTATTACATGGAAATAATTGAAATAGTAAATTAAATTGCATTAAAATACTAATTATAAGAGCTCTTATAGACAAGATATTCTTTATCGACTTAAAGTCATAGTAAACAATTAAATTTCAATTTAAATTTCAAATTTATTAACTTCCCGTAGGGCAAGTTATAGTAATCGCAAAAAAATCGAAAATGAAAAATTTTGCATTTCTCGACGTTTCAAAGGTTTCTGAATATTTTGGCATACCTTAGAAAAAATGGATGTATGTGTGTGTGTGTGTGTGTGTGTGCGTGTGTGTATGTATGTGCGGATACAAATTTTCGTCGACGATTTCGGGAACACCGATCAACCGATTTGAATAATCCAAAAAACATTCGATTCGTATTGATAAGGAGACGTGCTAATTAGTTTTTGGCGAAGGCAGGTGTAGCCGTTCCGAAGATACGGGGCAAAAAGTGCCGAAAACGGTAACTCAGTTTTTAAGAGAACGGAGCGTCCGATTTTAATAATTCAAAAAACATTTTACTTGTATTGACAAGGTGAAGAACCGATCAAATTTTCATAAAGGCAGGTCTAGCGGTTTCGGAGATCTAATGAAAAAAGTAAAAAAAAATGCCATTTGGCGGTCAAAAATGACCATTAGACATATGCACATCAAATTATCAGATATTTTATAGAGATTTTAACAATAAGTATAATTTTGGTTTACATTCCCATGGGTTCCGTACCAATGTTTACGCGTTAGACGTCGACGGTTTGATATTTCGTCTTTATGCAGTTAAAGCAGTACGATTGCTTTCAAAAAAAGTTTAGATCTTTCAAAATATGTCAAAATAAAGAAAACATTTTTTTTTCAAAAAAAAATAAAAAAAAAATTAAAAAAAATTTTTTTTCAAAAAAAAAGTAATTTTTTGTCTAATTGTTTGTCAAAAATCTTATTTTTTCGAAGTAAATTTTTTTCAAAAATGTTAATCGTTTTTAAAAAAAAAATAATTTTTGGTATGGGAAGTTCTAGCAATTTGCCTTAAGGCACGATGCCTTAATTGCCTTAAGGCAGAATTCCACTTACAGCTAGTTTAAAGTTCATCTATCACTCTTCGCATAATAATGTCTTTTGTGACATTTATTGCAAAAGCTATTGAAGAAGCAAAGTATTGATTAAATACTAATTTGTCGAGAGTAAAAAAAAAAGTAAATATTATAAGTAAACTTTGTGAAGCTAACAAATATGTTAAATATATATTATCAAAATTGTCAATTTATATTGATCACAAAGGAATATTATGATAAATATATTAACGATAACAACATAGACATTATATTTTTAATCATCACATCAAAATTGTTCCTTCATCCATTACCTTCTAAATTTAGTCCTTAATCATATCCAAATACTGTATATAAAGAATCCACGCATGCGATGTATTACATTTTTGAATTATATTAACTGCATGTGGATAGTAAGAATAAAAAATTTATTTTTCATATATTTTTTCTATCCTACTTCGAACAATTATATCCATTTGGATCTCTAGAAAGAGGATTCTGAGTCAGAGAACTCTGAAGATGAACAGGATGACCATAACACTTCTGCAGACATAAATTATAATTTACACAATCCAAGTTTAATGGATTCATCGGCTGTGAATAACTCGCTAAAAGATTCCAGTATGGATTTTTCTTTATTGGAAAATGACATGAAAAATGAAAGCATGGAGTCGGCTGATGATGATGAGGTGGATGTAGTGAATGATGGTGAGGTGTCCGCGGATGAACAAAGGGACTTGTGTTATGAAAAAATTGAAAAGGAATTGAATGAGCTAGAAGGTTCAAACCAAATCAACGAATTGGAGTATCAGAAAGTTGAAGTGCAAGAAGTGGACAATCAGCTTGATGTATCAACTGAATTAACTATTAATGAATCTCATCCGAGTGAATCAACTGTTTCAGCATCTGAAACAAGTGTTATTATAGAAGCCCTTAGTGATGATGTTGAAGTGGAGGATATGTGACTTGTACAAAATATGAAAGTTAATGCCCATATTTTTAGATAGTTGATAATTTGATATTTAAAAGTTAATTGTTAAATATTTCAATTTGTTTCATGAATTAAAATCTATTTTCTATTAAACATATAAACTATAACCTGAATCAGTCAGCTGTGTTATTTATGGTACTGTACTGTAAATTATCTTTAACTATTTTACTAGTATAATTAAGGTTCTGAATAATATATTTTTTATACTGTTTGATTAACTTGTGTAAAATACTTAATTAATTTATGGCATATTGAAACAGCTCAAGTGCATCAAATTTGCAAATAAAAATAATGAAAAGCATCTATTTTTTACCATTTTATTAATGTAATTAAAGTTTGTTCCGTTGCAAATAATGTTTGCACAAGCAAAATATAAAGTCTAAAGGACATTCTTTTTATATATTTCTGTAATTTAAGCTTTTGGATTTATTCCAATAAAATATTTGTATGAAATTGAATAATATATTTTATCTAAGCACCAAAATTACCCACCAGTCGTATTTGTCTTGTAAAAATGATATATTTTATATTAAATAATTATATATGTATATATATATATATATATATATATATATATATATTAATTATTTAATGTATTAAATATAAATTACTTATTGGTATACATATAAAAGTTTTATATATCGATGTACAGAAATATATTCTTGCAGTTGCTTCAATATATTTAGCTTTATTATATTTTTTGTTTATTTTTCTAGCCAAAATTATGAATGAATATAAATAATTAATTTATGCTGTATAGCAATTAAGTTATATATTTGTAAAGATATTTAATCTACACCAATCTGTACTTTTCAAATTAATAAATAGATTTTATAATTTTTTTTATCACTAAGTTATTTATAAACTACATTATAATGCAGCATTTTAATTTTTGAATCTACATTTTTTCATATTTTGAGGATCTAAATAACTGCTGAAACTGCAACAATATATCTATTATATTTATTTTAAATACAGTGTAAATATATTTAATTGAATGTAATTTTTGAATTTTTCAGATTGCCTAATCATCAATTATGAAAGTGATGAAAGACGAAATGAATATATTATATTTTAATATTGTCTAGAAAAACGATTAACAAAGGTAATTAATTTTTAATCAGTCTCGAGACTTATTAAGATCTTATATTCAAATTTGAGTAATTCATATTAGGAGTTTAACTTTGTAAAGGTGAAATGAAATAGTAAATCAATATTATTTTATATTTAATTGCAAATATTTATTTTATTTAATAATTATTAAATTCATACAAGTATTCAAGTGTGAATATAGTTGCGGAAAAAGTTGTTTTGGATTCAAAAAATAAAGAATGAAGAATATGGTAAATACACTGAATGTATCATGCACCAGCTTTTCGTTTAATATTTAAAATTTAAATAACGGTTAAGATTTAATATTTAAACTAAAATTTAAAACTGTCACTCAAATTATCACATGTGAGTCCACCTTACTTTGACAGATGGCATGTCATAATGTCAAGATGTACGATGTGAATACACCCTAAAGCCTTGGCGTTCATTAGTTGTCAGTTAGGTTATGACTAAGTTCCTTGACCCTCCCTCTAATTAATTTTCCAATTTTGTATTGTCTAGGATAATTTTTAATTAATAATAAATGAATAAAATTGTTTAAGCAATCATATAATGAGCAGTATTGAACATTTTCATCTTAATCAAAGCAATCGTTGTTGAGTTCAAGTTCAAATTTAAATAACAAAATTCAATTGTTTGTTAAAAGTATTTTGTGACTATAATTTTTAACTTGATTTTAAAGTATTATATGAAATACACATTCCTTTAAAGTGCTAAAGGTAAATAACGATGTTCAAATCCTTCAAATCGTTTCAACTGTGCACATGTGTTACAAATTATACATACTACACATGTTTTATTACATCCATTTATTTTGATTTCCATAAGAAATCAATCACTAATATTTTGAATTATCATTTTAGATGGAACAAATTATCCAACAAAAACTGATTCAAACAGCAAAAGTAGTGGAGCAGCAAATCGAGTCAGAAATTGAACGCTTGGATAACTTGGATCTTGATGATATAGAAAAGTTACGGGAACAACGTTTGAAGGAATTAAAAAGACAGAGTCAACAAAAGCAACAATGGCTATCTATGGTAATAATTGATAGTGAAATAGAGTAACATAAAAATATTAAGGGTTTTTGTTTTCATAGGGTCATGGAGAATATTCAGAACTTGCTGATGAAAAAGAATTCTTTGAGGTCACTAAAAAGAGCAAAGATATTGTATGCCATTTCTATAGAGATTCTACAGATCGTTGCAAAATTGTTGATATGCATCTGAAAATTATAGCTAAAAAGCATATTGAAGCCAAATTTTGTAAGATAAATGTGGAAAGGTGCCCATTTTTAACAGGTAACATGTCTTTATAAACAAAACTTGTTAAAAAGATTTGAAAGTCTAATTATGAGAATGAAATTAATATAAATGATAAATAACTTTCTATAAAGCAAATTACTGCTGTTCAGCAAACTGCATAATTTTAATTCCTGTTTAATAAGCACCTATTTCGAATAAATAAATTCATTTTGTTTTTATATTACTCATTCGTATTTTTTTATCAGAGCGACTGCGTATCAAGGTTATACCAACAATAGCACTCATCAAAGACAGCGTCACAAAAGATTATATCAGAGGTTTCACAGATCTTGGAAACTGTGATGATTTCTCAACTGAAATGTTAGAATGGAGAATTGCACATTCCCATGTAATCAATTATAATGGTGATTTATTAACACCTCCTGATGAAAAACACAGAAAAAATAAACTGACAATAGAGAAGAAGAGAACTATTCGAGGAAATGATGCCTCTGATGATTCAGATATTGATTTTAATGATTAAAGCACAAAATTGAGATTATGATAATTTGAAGTTGTGATGGAAGAGCTTGCATATAAATTTTAGATAAAAATTAAATTATTGTATGAAAGATTAAAAATTGAAATGGGTATCACATATGCTAAAATGCAATTAATTCATTAACATAAGTAAACAACTGAAATACAGCACTTAAAATAATACTGACTTATATTTTTTTTACAATTTAATTTTTGCAAAATCTTAATATCATTACTCTGATATTGAACTGAGTCAAAAACCAAAAAAAATATTACAAAATTTGATGAAATAGCAAAGAAATGAATTAGAATTTTAAATTAGAATTTGTTTTGTGAGATCTGTAATGTAGTCTGGCAAAAAAATCTTCTCACAACCAATTTTATTTGAAAAAATCAAAATGGCTATTATTAAAATTTTAAATCTTTGGCTTTGAAAGAAGTTTTGTTTTTCAGATAACATTCAATATGCAATGTCTGTAGTGAGGAAAAATCACAGAAAGCATTAAGTTAATAAACAATTCAGTTTACCACAATGGTTTAAACATATGCAACCACAATGATTTATGAACAAGAAAGGCTCAGAACTGTATTACAATATTACTAAAATATATTATTAAATAGAAAATGAATAATGAAACATATAATAATTACTATAACTTCATCAACAAGTTTTTGTACAATTCAGGCTTAAATATATTTGAACACAACATCCTTTTTATCACTAACAGTTTGTAACTCTAAAGTAACAGGACACTGAAGCCAATATGCTAACAACTCTTCTGAAAATCCAATCAGAAAATACATCTTCCTAGCATTAATCTTTTGTTGCATTATCGCAGCAATTCTGATATGATTATGTTGTCGTTTTATAATAACTTCAGATGCTAGAAGATTATGCCAAGTGCCTTCCATAAACTTTCTTATAAACATATCTTCAACTGCAGTTTCTGCAGGTCGCAAACCGTCTTCCAAATTTGATGTGTTCCAGGAGTTCCATGATTTTCTATGAGCTATAAAGTGTGGTGGATTTGCCATTTCGTAGGTAAGAGGCTTATCTTTTTTTAGAGATATTTTGTATCGACCAGACTGCACTTTATTGACAACTGGGGTAGTTGAAATAGTGCGAAAGATATTGTTAGGTGCATTTAATAGATGTTTGTTTGAAACGGTCCTGTGGTACAGCTTGAAAAAGAATTGTTTCATTTCAAAAAAATGACTCTTGCCATTGAGGTTAGAATTCGAATATGAAAATTAACTTACCCGCAACATAATAAATTATGGATTAAAAGTATGTTATTGAACTAAAAAAGATTTTTCTTGAATAGATCTGTTTATTCTTATATAATTATATTTATGCACACAATTATATGTAGCCTCACATTATATTATAGGTTATTCAAATCGCCATTTTTGAATTTTGACAATCACAGAATTTTATTGTTGTCGGACAGATGTCGGCAGTTTAAGATAGAAGTACACTGTTATGCCATGATAATTTTATTTTCTTTTAATTCTTTTTACTTTTTTCATTAGATCTCCGAAACCGCTAAACCTGCCTCCATGAAAATTTGATCAATTCTTTATCTTGTCAATACAAGTAAAATGTTTTTTGAATTATTAAAATCGGACGGTCCGTTCTCTTAAAAACTGAGTTACCGTTTTCGGCACTTTTTGCCCCGTATCTTCGGAACGGCTAGACCTGCCTTCGCCAAAAACTAATCAGCACGTCTCCTTATCAATACGAATCGAATGTTTTTTGAATTATTCAAATCGGTTGATCGGTGTTCTCGGAATCGTCGACTAAAATTTGTATCCGCACACACATACACACACAAACACACACACACACACATACATCCGTTTTTTCTAAGGTATACCAAAATATTCAGAAACCTTTGAAACGTAAAGATTACAAAAATTTTCATTTTCGATTTTTTTGCGATTACTATAACTTGCCCTACGGGAAGTTAAAAAGAACTAGTCGTGTATGTCATCGCGCCTTAAGGCAAATTGCTCGAACTTCCCGTACCGTAACGAAGTGTTCGAGGAATATTAAATGTTTTCAATTAGATTATTATAAATACTGTGATATTGTCTAAGTTAAAATTATTCATTTGAAGTATATAAGTGAGCTTTAAAACTTTAGCCAGAATTAAAATTAAAATCAAAATTATTTTCGATATACAAAACAAAATTGATTTTTTTTTCAAAAACAATTGTTTTGTTAACACAAGCAGAGAGTTTTTTGAATCATTCAATTCGGATGCTTATTTCTCTCAAAAACCGCCATTTTTTGTATATTTAGCTCTGGATTTTCGAAATGGCTAGGCCTGCCTTTGCCAAAAACTAATAAACACAATTTCTCCCAATCATTACAAATTGAAGGTTTTTTAGATCATTCAAATCCGATACTCCGTTCTCTCAAAAACTCGATTTCTATTTTCTGCACTCTTTGCTCTTTATCTTCATAACGGATTGACCTGCCTTTCCCAAAACCTAATCAGCACATCTCCCTATCAATAGGAATCGAATGTTTTTTTGAATTATTCAAATCGGTAGATCCGTGTTCCCGAAATCGTCGAGAAAAATTTGTATCCGCACACATATATCCATTTTTTCTAAGGTATGCCAAAATATTCAGAAACCTTTGAAACGTAAAGATATCCAAAAATTTTTATTTTCGATTTTTGCGATTACTATAACTTACCCTACGGGAAGTTAATTATTTATTAGTTGTGTACACCCTACCCTATGTAGGTTTTGAGACAGTTGAGGCAGTCAATATACATGTATTTACAGACTTATAGCTGGGTATCTCAAATTCCGAATACTACCTACTTCCAATAATTATTCAATTTTATGGGATGCACTAATAAACAAATACTAAAATAATCGCTATCTGAGCTTTAACTATTTTAAACAGTTAATGTCCTTTTTTTAATTTAAAAAAAAAAAAATCAATTTTTTTTTTTAATTTTTGAACAACAATTAGAACTTAATAGTCCTATAAGCTCTGTTGAGCTGATTTTTGACTTTATACTAGTCTGTTTCACAGATGGCAACCCAATAATCAGTTGTCACATCTCTGTATGATAATTTATTAATTTCTGTATAGGGCGAGTATGGTGCTGCAATGCCGGTTGAAGGCTATTTTCACTTGGAAACATATTGCTATCTATATTTCCAAGTGAAAATCGTTGTCACTGTTGTCTGACAACAGGCTGCTCGAAGTGGGTATCGAACCCGGGACCTCTGAAACAAGTCCCGTCGCTCTTAACCGCTTACCTACGGGCGAGCCCTAATGTCCTTTAAGACTGTAAACACGTCGCAGACTTCAGCACTGGCAGATACACTCTTGGGCGGCATATTTAGGAAAGGTTACGATTATGTAAGAAACTTAGAAATATAATGACTTACCTTGATGTCCGATAAATGCAATTATAATTAATACTTTGTTCCTGAATCGGCAACTTGTAGAAACTCTCAATCTTAATTGAGATCCGGCTCGAAGGGCAAAATGTGGGGCGGTCTTGATTAAATAATCAGATCCCATGGAATCGCTGGTTATTCTTGAATATGCACTGTATTTGAAAACTAAAAACGATCTTATTCTCTGATAATAACAAATTAAGAAATAACCTCACTTTAAATAATAAAAGGACACTGAACAAAACTTAAAAACTCGACTGACTCGGAAGAACGCTCGACCATCACTCGACACTGAACCAAAGAAGGAAAGCAAACTGAAAGCGTACTCATAACGCACTGAAAGCGAATTGAAGACGGAACTGAAAGCAAACTAAAAACGCACCGGAAGAGGACTGACCCGAACTGAATCGAACCCGAACAAGATAGAACCCGAACTGAATCGAACTGGATAGAACCTAAGACGGAAGCATTCTTTCTTTCTTTCGTCCTTTTTGGAAGGAAAGAGACAGCAACTTTTTAGAATGCAACAATTCGGTTGACATAATGCAATCCTGAGATGGCGACTATATTATTATTATTATCGACACATGTAAATATTAATTGTGGCGTCATACATAAGTAAACATGGCATCACCAGTTATACAGTTTGAAAAACTACATAATTTATTTTTTCTGGAATCGCGGGATCGAACCGACGACTCTCGAATAGTCTAAACCTCGTTCTTGCGACCTCGGCCAATTCGACCACAGGCTTACAATATTTTTAGGAAACTTATATGATATTCATTTAAAATAGACTTTATATTTTTAACTTCCCGAAGGAGAAGTTTATGTTTTCATCAAAAAATCCGATTCGCTAATTTTATGTTTTCTCGACGTTTCAAACCATTCTGAATCGAATGAGACCAAATTTGGAAAGTGTGTGTGTGTGTGTGTATGTGTGTGCGTGTATGTGAACAGATTTTTTGCCGTAAATCGACGTTCTCTCAAACACGTGCTCTTTGCACCAAAATTTTTGACATTTGCGCAAACCAAAGATGGATGCCTCCATAAACGACGTGAAGTTTGACAGGATATAGAGAGCGCAAAATTCAAATTTTAAATATAAAATTACCAATTTTATTTACTTGTATAAACACAGCAAACATGTGTGTTTGTTTTACATATGTACATATTTTGTTTATAGAATTTACAGGTAATTTAGTTTCTTATAACTTTGTGATAATAAGTGACAACAAACAGAATTGGTAGAATTCACAACTAAAAATAATTACAAGCTCAATGTAAAAGACTTTATTAAAATAAGAAGATTTTATAATCTGTATACAATACTGATTACGATTGTTCCATTACTTTTATAAAATTTTAGAATCAATTCACGCTTTCATCAACAATTTAACTTCAACTTTGGGAGCAGTTTCAACAGCAGCCAACAAATCGTCTACATTACAGCAATATGTGTATCCTCTAGTTAAATCAGCAAAATAGGAATCTTCAAATCCAGCTTCTTTGCAGATGTCCTTGCAGAGTAGATCTTTATGAGGAACTTTCTCTGCATAAGGATTATTGAGGGTAACAAAAGCAATGCCTTCTCCAGTTTTTGGCGATTGTACTATTTTCCAATTCCATTTGGGTATCCAAATGTTTCCGTCTTTGGCAATAGACATTTTTACTTCGTTGTTATTGACATCAGGCAGAGTTAGGATATCATGGACACCTGAATAGACGGTCAAATCTTCAGCTCTGGAAGATCCCAATTTTCTTGCTAGATTTTCTACACGTAACCAGTTTCCAGCATTCACGGCCTGGAAGAAGAAAAGTTTTACTAGAAATATTTTTAGTTGGAACCGCGATTATATCACAACAAAAAACACATATCAAACTACTAAAACTATCTGACTATGTTCAGTGAACCTCCCAGCTAGTTCATCATTGTAGAAAAGAGTATTTTTGGTGATTTTCTAAAATTTGTCACCTCGTCCTTTTCACCCCAAAGGCCAGGGACAAAACGGCCAGAAGGCCAAACAGACCCAATGTTTTATTTTTAATTTCAAAGGGATTTTACTAAATAATAGCTACATTATTCAACCAATGCAAAATATAAATTTCATAGGCATATTTTTTACAAAGATAACACTGTATATAACCTTGATCTGGTATTTCGTCAAAAATCTTCATTAGCAGAGTTGGAATAATTTAATTTATCTCTTGTGAAATTATTTTTTTAACTTAGTTTTTTAACATTTTTATTTACTAGTTTTAATTGTTTTCAACTTTGCCAGGATAGAGGTTTAGTTGGTTCTTTTACCCCACCCACGTGTATAAGCTTTTATAAAGGTTATATAAAAAAAAACTTTTGAATCTAACTCAAAAATAACAATACATCTTATAAAACCAATTAAATAACGTATAATTAAAAATTATATTTAGGTCTCGTAAACTAAACAACAGTGCTCACGACCAAAAAATCTAACAACGAAAGAAAATACATTTGTTATGCATTTTCAAACTTTGTCGTTTATCTCCTGATAGCAACGTCGTAAAAATCAAGGTGATGGCTGGATATACATCTTTTGCCCTCTACTTTCAAATATTGTTGTTAAAAATGCTTAACTTTACTTGTTTCAGCCCCGCTCTACCCTATTCCTCAGTAGTGTAAAGATATTTTTTTTTTAAAAATGTTATTAAGTAATTTATAATTAACTTCCCGAAGGAAAAGTTTTAAAATCCCGAAGAAGAAGTTTACGTTTTCATCCAAAAATCTAATTTGCTAATTTTATGTTTTCTCGACGTTTCAAGCCGTTCTGAATCGAATGAAACCAAATTTGGAAAAACGATGTGCGTGTGTGTGTGAACAGATTTTTTGCGGTAAATCGACGTTTTCTAAAAAACGCCTGAACCGATTCCAAAAATTTAAAAGCCATTCGACGTATCTCGATGAGGACTATAATCGTTTGTCAGTTTTGTTTAAAGATCGGTCGAGCCGTTTCTTTGTAATTTGAAAAAAGTGTTAAACATTTCGTCCACATTTAGGCTCATACTACCGAATCGATATTAAAAAATGAAAAACTGTTCGAAAGATATTAGTTGGGAATGATTCTGATTAGTTTTAGGTGAAAATCTACCGAGCCGTTTTCATGTAATTAACTGTTGAGAAAAAAAATTAAGACGATGTTTATGGAACTTTTTTTTGGCGATATATATCATGGTTTTATAGAACTTACAGAAATATTACGGCCTTACGACAAGTAGTTTAATTTTAAAAATTCATCAAAGTTTGAGAAAACGAGTAGGTTTTTTGACATTTGTTAAAATTCAAATTAGACGATTAACTTGGTATAACGATAAAGTACTTGGTCTTAATGAACATACTAAACCATTAATCCTACGGAAACTGGTTTAATTTTAAAAATCATTGATTTTTGAAAATTCGCTTTTAGAAAATACTCCGAGTTAACGTGTTCGTTCGTTTTCAATTATGTGTAATAAACCCACTCGAAATACTCTTAATAACTCATAAATTAGTTTGTTTATTGATTAAGTCGATTATTTACACATTTTGGGAAGTTCATGTAACTTGCCTCAAGGCAAAATACCAATACCAACTAGTTAAGATATCTGTGGTGGATCTTTAAGTTCCGTTCTACCCTATTCGTCAATATAGTGTAAAAAACAAAAACAAAACAACAAACTCTTTATTATTTTATGGATTTACCTGCCATTGTGGGCAAACATTGACATAGAAGTAGGTGGCATATTGCCAAATGGCGAATGTAAAATCTGCATCGGGAGACATGTGTCCTCTCGCTAAAAAGGCGTTGGCGCCCTCGAAATATTTCTCTGCCAGTTGCGATGATCCCAGCAATTCGGCAAATATTTCCTTCTGGGTTTCCTGCTTGTAGGCCTCGGCCGGGGACACGTGCTTCGGGGTGCCGGTGGATTTAAAACTGGGTCGGTAGGATTCCTTTTCGCTATCTGAGATAATAGTAATAATAAATAGATGATAATAAACAAGAATAACAAATAGGAATAATAGATATATAGATATATAGATATTAGTAAATTTACTCGAAAGAAAAGGCGCAGAGTTCTTTTTATATTTAATCTAGTTTTTTAAATTGCTCGTCAGCGAAGTGCTTTTCTTATCTTCCAAATCTCTTCATAAACTCCATTATTATTTGCTTTTATTTTATATTAAATTATCATACTACTTTAATGAAAATACTATCCTTTATTTTGTACTCTTTTTTATTTAAATTTATGTTATTGTTCATCATTGTTGAAAGATGATTAATTATCATTAATTAATTATTTAACAGTTGTAATAAATATTGTAATTAAAAAAAGTTCACTTTTTATTATCGAGATCTATATTCAGTTTGCTCTTCAGTAGAGTCCTTTTCCAATACTAATCTGAACTAGTGGTGTATAACATCGTGCCTTAAGGCAAATTGCTGAAACTCCCGTACCGTAATGAAATATTCGAGAAATTTTAAACGTTTTCAAATATATTATTACAAATACTGCAACTTTCATTATTTTTGCTATCTTGTTGTATCTGAGCAAATCAAATGTAAATCATAAATCAATTTATCTCCAGAACATTAACAACAATCGTGATTTCATTTCGAATTCAATTTCAAAAAAATAGTTGCCTAATTTACACAAAATTGAAAAAGTGCTCCCGTATAGCCCCAGTCTAAACGCATTTGCAAACAATTTTGTGCGACATTTTCACTTGTACTGTGCATAGCTTGGCAGCATTTTCACATTTTTCAATAGTTTTCACAAAAAGGCACTTGGGTGAACATTTGTACCAGAGTGGCGCTTAGACTGTGCTTAACCTGAGTAATTTTTTTGAATTTTTAATCCAAAATTACAAAAATATTTTATGGAAAATAAAAAAAGATGTAATAATTTTTTATCCTCAAAAACAATTGTTTTGTCAATACAAGCAGAAAGTCTTTTAGTACATTCAAATCGGACGCTTAGTTCACTCAAAAAACTGCCATTTTTTGCACATTTAGCGCTGTATCTTCGAAATGGCGGGACCTGTCTCTGCCAAAAACTAATCACCTCTTCTCCCAATCATTACAAATTTAATGTTTTTTTAGATCATTTACATCCGATACTCCGTTCTCTCAAAAACTCAATTTGTATTTTCAGCACTCTTTGCTCCGTATCTCCGAAATGGCTGGACTTGCCTTTGCCAAAAACTAATTAGCACATCTCTCTATCAATAGGAATCGAATGTTTTTTAAACCATTCAAATCGGCTGATCCGTGCGAAAAACCTTTTTTAATTTATTATATTATCATATATCTTTCATCAGTTTTATCCGTTGATTATAAATGCGTGTCGCTAATATTTTCCACTTACCAATTACCACTGACATCTAATATAATGTTTGATAGAATGTATCGAGGTATAATTGCTTCAATTGCAAATTCCCTTTACCTTTACCGTTGTGATGAATGGTGAGAGATAATTGATTGGCAGAGGCAGAGGCATAGTCAGAGTCAGTTTCATCATACGAGACGAGAAAATTTAATAGAGGAGATAATTAGATCGGTTTCAACGACAATTAAATTTCCGCAATTATATATAGTTAGTTAATTAATGTTCAGGATACCTAACTATAACTACCTACCAAATGCTCATAATGAATGGAGATATTGAGGAAGTCGACGATGTCAAATCCGTTGACTAATTTCGTAATTAACCTAAGTTAAGTGGTTACTTAACCTAAGTTAAGTGGTTAACCAGTGTCATTCGAATAGAGCTCGTGAAGAGTATATTCGTCAATCATATACTAATGGAGCAATTCTGCCATAACAGAGCTCATAAAAGAGCGTTGTCATGGCAACGCTCTCTTATGCTTGTTGCTTGTTAGTGAAACTGTAAAATTGTCTAATTAATTGTTGTGTGATCAGGTGTTTTTACATATTAACAAGCAAGTAAAAATCTTATGATAATTGCACCATCTAAAAATAATTGTCATAACTATATATATCAGAAAATAGAACATTTTCATAATTTTCAATACCAAAAACAAGGATAAGAGAGATTTTTGAAAATCCATATCAAAAGTATTTTTTTCGTTGTTAGTTTTTTTTACACATTTTTACGTTTCAAAGGTTTCTGAACATTTTGGCATACGTTAGAAAAAAATTGATATATGTGCGTGTGTGCATGTGTGTTCGTATATGTGTGTAGCTACAAATTTTCGTCGACGATTTCGGAAATACGGTTCAAACACGATTAACTTGTATTAACAAAATGACGTACTGGTTCAATTTTTGGAAAGGCAGGTCTAACGGTTTTGGAAATTAGCGAAACAAGTAAAAAAAATGCCATTTGTCGGTTAAAAATGATTATTAAACATATGCACATCAAATTATCAGATATTTTAAATAGATTTTAATAAGTATACATTCTTTTACATTTCTTTGGTTTCCGTACTAATGTACATCTGTAACACCGCGGCGCGGCGCTTACGCGCTTCTATATTTCTTCTCTGAAATTGCCATTGGTTTAAAAAAAAGTTCAAAATTTTCTGAATATAAAAAAAAATTCATTTTTTTCAAAAACGTCAAAATTTTCGTTATTATCAGAATTCTCAAAAACCTTTTTACAATTTTCTAAAAAAAATTACACTTTTAAAAAAATAGAATAAATCAATACGGGAAGTCCTAGCAATTTGCCGCAAGGCACGATGCCATGCAACACTAGTTTTGTAATAATTTTATATCATAGAAATGTAAAAAAAAATGTTTCTTTTTAATTTGTTGTCTCATACACTGATTTATCACTTTTGGCACTTTTTGCCCCGTATCTTCGAAACGGCTAGACCTGCCTTTGCCAAAAAACTAATCAGCACGTCTCCCTATCAATACGCATCGAATGTTTTTTGAATTATTCAAATCGGTTATTTCGTTCATGAAATCGTCAGCAAACATTTACATTATACATATTCACATCATTTTTTCTAGGGTATGCCAAAATATTCAAAAACTTTTGAAACGTACATTTTTTGCAAAGACTATAATTTACCCTATTGAAAGTTAGTAAAATTAGGGACCGACTCCTGTGCACAACAGAAAAATGTTATGGCAAGGCCATGTTACGCTCCGACTTCCATACATTATGGTACTGAATTATACTGAATACTGTCTACATGTCATGTATTTGCTCTGCATTCAGACATTTTACACATAAACTGCAACGTCACTCGTATGTTATGAAGCTGGGTCAGAAAGACCCTGTTATCTAAGATCGTTTTTGTGACATTTGTATGGGAGGTTGTTCATAACATGGCCTTGCCATAACATTTTTCTGTTATGCGACAGAATCGCATAACAGCCCTTAATTTTATTATCTATTACCTGCGATAGAAGTTCCAAAAATCGTATGTTCAGTGTACACAACCGATCCAGTCTTCTGGTCATAGCAAACTTTGTACAAAGGCACAAATCCAACCTGGTCATCTCGGACATCGAATCCAATGTAACTCCAAGTGCCATCTCCTGTACATTTATCCTTGGATGTGATAATGTCACCGGTTATTGTCTTATCACAAGCCAAATCCGAGATTGAACTGGAATTTTTACCAAAATTCAGGACATCTTCTGAACGGCATCTACCGTATGCTACGCTGGAGGAATCTAGGAGGATAAAATATTTTAACCTCAAGAAGCACAACTAGTGTGAAATTTTCAAAAAATCGAATTTTTAATTTTTCCATATTTCGATAGGTTATACCTTTAAAAATAACATACCAAAATTTTAAATCGATATATTAAATAGTTTTTGAGTCACAGCCATTTAAAGAGTATATATATAGTATATAGTATAACGATCATTTTATATTTAAACGCGTTTTTCTCGAAACAGCATTTTCCGAATTTGCTACAGCGATTACTCAAAAACAAATGATCCGATCACTATCAATTTTTTTTAGATGTTTTATATATAGTTCTCCGTAAAATGAATTATCAATTTGTTGATCGGATCAAAAATCTAATTTTGGCAGTCCAAAAACGACCAAAATTTTGGATAAAATTCGACTGTTTTTAAAAAACGCCGTCATTTTGTCAATTTTTGATTTTTTTTCTTTATCGTAGTTCATTTTGCAGACAATATTATCTAGTTTAATGACTTTTTTTTTAAATTTTCATCCACGTAGAAGGCCGCAATCACTGCAGCAGTGAAGGGCCTTTTTTTTTGTCGCGCCGTTGGAGTTCGACGATAACTTAAAAAATATTAATTTTTTTTTCAAAAATTTTACTATGTATTCTTAAAATATGTATAAATATATTCCTAAAATTTTGAAATGATTCGTAAAGTAGTTTTTTTTATATAAATTCCCAAAAATCACATTTTTTTAGGCGGTTACACTAGTTGTGCCCCTTAATAAATACATCTATTAATTATCTTACTAACTTTTCAGTGGCGTGATATAATTTTTACTGCCGGAGCATGCGATCACCAATTGTTCACTTTTCTTCAACTCAATTGTTGGTCCTTCAGGATGGAATAGTTCGATTTTTTTGGACTTAAGACGAAGGTACAAAGGCTCCTTCTTCGGTAAACCGCCATTTAACTTTGCAGAACATCCAGTTGTTTTGGCTGTAAAAGATAAATTTAATATTAAAACAAAAATTGAAATTAAATTGAAAAGGCTCCAGTGGTTCGGAAAATAGTTGATTTCACTCAAATTTTTCTTCAACACTATTGCAGGAGACTGCCAAATTGTGTAGATTAGAGATGAGCTTATCATAACCGAAGAGAGATTGATTAGGATTTGCTTCAGAAAGGAGTTATGTCCACTTAACAACTCCGACGACTCCAACAACTTCAAAACCTAATACTAGACACAAATGTGTTCTATAGTGTGGTGTTCATATATCTAAACCCCAATATTTTTGTTCATTTTGCTATAAAAAATTACTATTTTATGCATTTCAATATGCATACAAATCTTAAATTGTTTGGCGAAAAATAAAGAAATATCAGGGTAATTCTTTTCTTATAAGGGTCAACTAAGCAATCAGGTGATCAGACAATTTATGAACAAATAAATATCAATGAAACAATGCTTAGAAAAAATACCAATAAATGGTAAATTATCAAAATTTTGGTAGGCGATGGAATCAATGGCTCATATTTTTTGCAGTTTTGAGCAAAAAAAAACGGAAATTTTGAGAATCAAAATTAATTCCATAATTAATTTTGAAGGGAAATAATAGAATTTTTTAAATATTTTTTATTTATATTTAATTAATGCTGTAAACTTTATATATGAAATTAGAATGAATCTTTGTTATTATACTCGTATGTATAATATTTTTTACGAAATAATAATACCTCACATTTTCCTATTATTAACTTTCCGTAGGGTAAGTTATAGTAATCGCAAAAAATCGAAAATGAAAATTTTTATATATCTTTACGTTTCAAAGATTTCTTAATATTTTGGCATACCTTAGAAAAAATGGATCTATGTGTGT